TGGCGGTGCCAGCAGCGAGAATAAGGAAGAGCGCGGGGAGGAGGGCTGGGGCGAAGGGCGGGTCTTAGGGGCGAGGTGGGAACTGGAGCGGCTGGGCCTGGCAGAACGCCGGATAAGAGGTGAGCGGGCCAGGGGGCTGGCTTCTTCCCTCTGTACGTAAGGCTCCTGACCATCTCCTGGCTCCCCCATCGCCCAGCCCCACTCCCACCAGAAGCAGCCCCGTGGGACGAGGGGGCGGGGAGAGGCGCAGAGAGCTTGCCCCCATGGGGAGAGAGGGTAGCAGACCCCTCGCACCTGAGGCCGCAGGAGGAAGTCCATGGCCGGCAGGGGTGAACCTGAGAAGGAGGGGGAGGGGACCAGCCTGCGCCCCTTCCCAGTCACGTGCCCTTCTGGGCCAGAGTGACCAATAGCGGAGCTGATTGTGGCACGGGGTTAATCATTAGACTCCTTAGGAAAATCCAGAGGGGGCCATGTGGAGCGGTGGCCACGTGAGGGCAGGGAGGGGCGGGACTGGGTGGCACGTGGGCAGGGGGCGTGGCCAGTCACGGCAGGCGAGCTCCGCCCAGAACCCTCGCCCGCGTGCAGACTTGACCTGGGGCCTCTAAGGCCGGCTGGGTCTGAGACGGGTTGCTGGGTGAGAGACCCAGGGTTCTCAAAGTTCCTCAACCGCTGAGGCTAAGCTACCTAGGTCTTCAGGTAACAGCCTCAACTCCCTCCCCAGGACTGGAAGACGTTTGATACCCCCACTACCCATCCCCCCGCACGACCATCATGCAAGGTCAGGGTAGGGATGGCAGCGTCCTCCCGGTCTGCACACTCACACACGCTCACACCCCTGGTTGGTGAGGACCCTGGGCCAGAGCACACAAGGCTGCCAGGGAGGGAAGGTGGGGCTGGCGACCTGGGGAACAAACTCACCGTGCGGAAAGAATCTGCGCCCTTGGTGGGGCACCGGGGGGCGCTGCTCATGGCCGAATCTTAGCCCTTTTCGCTGTCGCTGCGGCTTTCAGGGCAACAAGGCGGAGGCATAACCTGGATGGGGGAGAGGCCGGATCACCATCGAGAGCCCTGGGAGGGCAGGAGCCACCACGCGCAGGCTGCGCTGCTGGGGATCCTCCTGGACTATGAAGGGCCTCAGAGTGGCCCTTAGCGGCAGCCACAGCACAGAGAGTTATTTATAGGAAGAAAAGAGAAGAACAAGGAGGCAGGAGAGGACTGAGGCGAGTGGGGCCAAAAAAGGCCGAGAGACTGAGTAGAGGGAGGAGGAGAGAGAAGGTGGGAGAGGCCACAAGAAAAATGAGGGAGAAAGGAGTCAAGGCCCAGGCCCGGAGAGAAAGCAACAGAGATGAGGGAGGGAGCGATAATAAGCCGGGGAAGGAGGGGAGTGAAGGCTCAGGCAGACAAGGGAGCCTCGCAGGGTCAGGGCACCCACCAGAGGTGGGCCTGAGACCAGAGAGGGTGTGGCAGGGAGGGTGAGACACCCCGTGGAGCTGGGGCCGGACTGCCGAGACAGGAAGCAGACGAGAGGAAGAACTCTGGAGAGAGCCCAAGATGCCCCCGCAGGGAGGGGGCGCCCCCTCCCCAGTGCAGGCCGGCAGGAGTCTTGCCTCCCCCAGGTCCGTGGGGGCTGGCAGGAGGGAAGCAGGCTGGCTGGGTGGAGGGCAGGAGCTCAACTCCACTCACTCAGTGGGAGGGAGGAAGGCACAGAAGGTGGGCATGGGCTGGGCAGAGCTTTATAATGGGGGAGGGGCATGTGATGGGCTGGGAGGGGGTGGGCACCGCAACCTTGAGGTTCTGCCTCTGAGGGGCGGTCTGGATCCCGCCCCTTCCGAGCCTGGAGCCAGGAAAATCTGAGTGGCAGCGCTGCCACCCTCCTGACTGTGACTGTAGGGAGTCTGGGGAGGACACTGTATGGTGGGGGCAGAGAAGGAGCTGCAGGAGGGAGCCCAATCCCTGCAAATAGGGGGCCTATTCCTAGTGGGTCAGCACAGGGGACACCCAAGATTGGCAAAAAGTGATGGTACCGATGCTCCCAGTGTGTTGCTGGGGACTGGGGGTGCCCGACTCAGGAGTAAGACAAATCAGTGTAGGGTCAAACAATATAGGTCGGGGGGGGGCTCACCCAGGATGGGGAGCCTGGCAACACATTCTTGGCAAGCACTCCAATTCGGCTAACTACGCTCTTCCCCTCCCCCTCAGCAGGCCTTCAGCCAGGGTGGGCGGTGTGGGTGAGCGTGAGGGCACCCAGTCTGGGAAGGGTGTGGGAAGAGTCCGCCCTGAGCACCTGCAGGCGCCCACTCCCACCTCAGGCTGTGCCCTCAACGCGCTCCTCCACACTCTTCTGCACCCCCTCCCCCGCTGTCCCAGAATACAAAGCAGCTTCTGTCCAGAGCATCGGTGCCGATAATCCGGGTAGGGGCACATTCCTCGGACCAGCCCCGACCGGCCCAGAGGATTAGCATCTCTCCCCTTGCCCAAAGGATTAGCATCTCGGACCCCCACTTGGGCATTAACCACCCCCCAAGTGAACTCGTAAATTCCACAGCTCTTCCATGTGGGACTGGCGGGGGAAACGAAGCGGGATAAAGTAGACCCTGGATTTCAGGCAGTGCCGTCTCTCACACCCAGCACAGAACTCCCCGCCTAGACAAACCGACCCCGGGAGTCAGGTCCAACTCTCCGGGCTCGTCTTTCCCATCCCCACCCAGCTGCTCCCTCTTCTGCCTGACCCCTTGTCCCGACCTTACCCGCCACCCGCCTTTCCTGGCTTCGCCTCCCAACCCGGAGACTGGGGATGGAGGCCCCGGGCAACCCCCAGTCTGGGCGCCCCGGACGGGACTGAAGGACTATGCGGGGTGGCCGGAGGGGAGGGATGGTCTGGAGCCAGCCGGGGAGTGGGAGGGCCGGCGGCTCCTCAGGGAGACTACCCACTCCTGGTGGCAGGGGGCGCGGCACCATGGCTTTAGGGAACTCTGAGAAAGGGACCCCGGAATGCCCGCCTCCGACCAGCACTCCATCCGCCTCCTCATCCTTCTCCCCAAGACCGCGGTTCCCCGCGCCCCAGTCTCCGCCCTTTCCTCCACTTCCACTCCCTCCCTGCTCGAGTCCCGAGTTCCCCCCTCTCCTTCCCCCTCCCTTCCTCCCTCCGCGGCCCTGGCCCTCCCCCGCCACCGCCTCTCCGCTTACCCGCTCGCTCTGGACTTCGTGCCCCGGGGGTCTCGGGGTCTCTCCCCGTCCTCCGGCACCCTCGCGCGCTCCCGACGACTGCCCCGTGCCCACCCCGGGGCGCGCCCCCGCCGCTCCCAACTTCTCCCAACTCAACTTTCCCCCGCGCCACGGGCAGGCCAGCCCCCTGCGTGCGCGCCCCCCGGCGCACCGTGCGCGGTCCCGCCGCCGCAGGTGGGGAGGCGGGAGCGGGGGCAGGGGCGGGGGCGCGCTTCCAGGCACAGCCCGGCACCAGGGGCCGCCCCCGCCGTCCCTCTGCCCGAAGCTTCCCCACTCTGGGCTTGGAAGCCCCGGGGATGCCGTCTCTTGGCTCCATTACGGCACCTCTGGGTGGAAAGGAGCCCGCCTCACGCTACGGATCCCAGGCAGTAAAACGCAGGCACAAGGAAATTCGGAGAAGTCGAAACATAAATGTATCGGGATTGAGATTCTCTTGCGGCCCCCCTCCCAAATAACCCCCGTGCCTCCAAGAAAGCCCCTGAGGGACGGTGGCGAGCAGGTGAGAAGGGTGACAGCGGCTGGAAGCTGGCTGCCCTGTACCCTGAGCTGATCTGGGAGAGGGCAACTTGTTAGGGGCTCCCCACTTCCTGAGAGGGACAGAGATTCGCTATGGTGGCCTCCTTCCTCTTGAATGGAACCTCCACACTGAATCGAACCCTAGTCATAGTCATCACTTATCATTCAAGACCTGTGTGTAGTTCTTGTTTGCCCAACGAAATCACAAAGTCTTCCAGATAAGGAATGTACTTTTCGCTTCTTTTCTCTTGTGTATGCAAAAGCATTCAGATAGAAACGAGTTAATTAACACGTGTTTGGCAGTAACTCTGGTTCCGGTGCTGAGGAGTGCTGTTTGGGATCCTTTTCCCTCGGTCCGTAGCCCTCAAGAATGCAATCATGAGACAATTAGAGAGGCAGCGCAAGGGAATCTATAATCAACTCCTTTAAGGGATGAGGTAGAGGCTGCTGCAAGTTGAGCATCGGTCTGTGGTCTTGTCTGTGGAGGGGGTTAACCAACCTGCCGGCCACACCCTGGCTGACTCCAGTGGGCCCCGTTCCGGAGACTGGGGTCTGGGGGGACCTCCAGGGCTCCACCCAGCTTTTCTCAGCATGTCAGAGTTCAGCGGCTGGAGTCGGGTGGGCTCCGAGACAACGAACGGGGCCCAGCCGAGAGAGGGGTCTTTGGCGTGTGTCCCTCCACTAAAATCCAGCCTCAAAGGGGCACAGCTGTTCTCTTCCCAGCCCTGCGGTCAGCTGTTCCCTGTGAGGTCATCATCGCTCACATGCATTCCCCAGTGAATCCTGGTGTCACTAGGTGGCTTGGGGAGAGGTGGAGGAAACCCGTGCTGAGGTCGTCAAGAGGCCGTTGGGAACTCAATGCCACCAACCAGGTCAGAGCTGGGCCGCCAAGGCTCAGGATCTAGGCCGCCAAACCCCAAACCCCTAACCGAGAGCGCTCCGCCCCCATCCCCGCTGCATTCTGGAACGCGTAGTCCCGGAGCGGCCCTTTTCAAGAAGGCTGGGAGCACATAAAAGGAATAACAACAGCGAGGCACACTGGGAACCGCGGCGCCGCGGCGGGGCGCCCGGAAAACGGACACGTGTTGCTCCCTGGGACTTGAAGTCCAGGGTTTTGCCTCCGCGGTGGAACTGGAGCCCTGGAGTCGAGTGCTGCAGAGAGCGTGAGCGCAGACGGCTGGGGTTTGTAGTCTTCTTGTCCTCGGTCTCGGGCACTGCGGGGAGACCTTGTTGTCTTAGGACTACAAGCCCCAGAAGGTACTGCGCGGCCAGGCGGGGCGGGGCTCGAGGCTCGGGTGCCGCCTCCTCTGCAACGCCGGGGCCAGAGTCTTAAAACCGAGGGCCCGCAGGGGTCCCCGCGGCCGCCGCGATGCAGAAATACGAGAAACTGGAAAAGATTGGGGAAGGTAATGGAATCTCGAGATGTTCCTGCAAGAACCCCTCTGCAGATCCTTCGGCATTCCTTGCAGCCCTGGCTCCCTTACCGTCAGCAATACCTACAGGCTCCGACCTCAGCAGCGGCTGCAGCCCTGGCCCCCGAGCTCAGCACTCCGTGCAGACACCAGTCTTCCCCGTGTTAGCATTTCCCGCAGGCTCTCACTCCAACCTTAGCGTTCCCAGTAGACCCGACCTCCCAACCGCGACACTTCCTGAATTTCTCACCCCAGCCTCAGCACCACTTGGACAACCTCACCCCGAGCCCCAGCCTCGGTTCTTGCTGCAGACCTCCAACCTCAATATTTCTGCAGCCCCTCAGTCCTCTCCCAGGCCCCTCCTCACCATTTCCAGACCCTTCCGGAGCACCGCCTTCATTTTAGACATCCTTGCCCTCGCAGCCGCACTCGCCCCTCCTGCTGAGCCCCTGGAGCCTCCGCGGGCACCTTCTTCTCCCTCCTCACCTGCCACATCCTCACTCACAAAGCTCACCCACCTACCTTCACCCTGAATCCCTTTCTTTGCATATTCAGACGCTGCCTTCACCTCCCGGGAGGCATTTCCTGGCTTAGGGAAGAGTGCCGCATCCTCCCCCTGACCCCTGACCTCCTTCCCCTAGGCACCTACGGAACAGTGTTCAAGGCCAAAAACCGGGAGACTCATGAGATCGTGGCTCTGAAACGGGTGAGGCTGGATGACGATGATGAGGTAGGACTGGGGACTGAGATAGGGCCTGGAGAGGGGGTTGAGGGCCTGGGCTGGGTGGGATCTGACTGCTGCCCACCCGGCCCCCTCACATATGCAGGGTGTGCCGAGTTCTGCCCTCCGGGAGATCTGCCTACTTAAGGAGCTCAAGCACAAGAACATCGTCAGGTGAGCGGGAGGCGGGTGCTCCTTGCCGGTGTGGCCGCTTGGGGGAGGCGGGGGCTGACACTGGACGTCTGTCAGGCGGACCTGCATGGCTGAGCCCTTCTTTTGCCCTAGGCTTCATGATGTCCTGCACAGTGACAAGAAGCTGACTTTGGTTTTTGAATTCTGTGACCAGGTGAAAGGCGGGGTTTGGGGGACAGTAGCCTTGGGAAGGTATAGGGGCCCAGACTGAGGTTAAACTCTGTCCCATTCCCCCACTCATATCCCTTTTCAGGACCTGAAGAAGTATTTTGATAGTTGCAATGGTGACCTTGATCCTGAGATTGTAAAGGTGAGGAGAGTGGTGTTGGGGGACCCCTCAGGCTGGGGTCAGAGTCTGCATTCAGTGTAAGCACTCCTTGGGCTCTAACTTTGGGCCCTGAACAGGGACGCTCTGGGGTGTCAGAGAATGAGAAAACCCTGTTTCTGCCCTCTAGGAACCTCCAGTCTTAGCAAACATTTTCACGTGGTCGTCTTTGACCCGCACAGTGGCACTCTGACGTCAGTGATAGTATTTACATTCAGAGATGAGAAAATGAGGTTCAAGGAGATACACTCATTCATTCAATACATACTTACTGAATGCTTCACTGTGTGCCAGATGCTCTTCTAGGCCCAAGACCAAATGCCTTGGTCCAGGTTCCAGGGGAGCCAGTCCTGAATGATACTACAGCATGATATTTATGTGCTGTAGTATCGTGTGCATACTCAGATGCGGCCAGGAAGGGAAGATCAGCATGGGCTAGGATCTAGGCGGGATCTAGGATCCACCTGGCAAGGCCCATTAGGCTATATGGTCCAGGAAGATGGGGACCAGGGCCAGTTTCTTCACTCTTGTCCCTCTAATGCCTAGTACAGTATAAAGCAGGTTCTGGATGGCGAATGAATGGTGTCACTCTGAACCAAGTGCTGAAAGGTGGGTGGGGTGGAGTGAAGCACAGGGTGAGGAGAGGAGCCACCCGTTGCTGGGCACAGTTGCATGTTCAGGGAGTCTGACTCCCTTCTGCCTGCTCTCCTCCCAGTCATTCCTCTTCCAGCTACTGAAAGGCCTGGGATTCTGTCATAGCCGCAATGTGCTACACAGGGATCTGAAGCCCCAGAACCTGCTAATAAACAGGGTACTTCTTGGGAAGAAGGTGGGGAGTGGGAAGCCTGGGGCCAGGGCATGGGGAGCACGGAGGGAAGAGGACTGGGAGGATGGAGTCTGTGCTGTCCCAAGGCTGCTTAAAGGCCCTTCTCCATGTCCCCTTCCCATTCCCCTCAGAATGGGGAGCTGAAATTGGCTGATTTCGGCCTGGCTCGAGCCTTTGGGATCCCTGTCCGCTGTTACTCAGCTGAGGTGAGCTAGGAGATGGGATATGGGATTGGGGGAGGGAGTCCCTCACCTCCAACCCCAGGACCCAAAACACTATTTTCCTCTCCTCTCTGAGCCTCCTCCTCAAACCTCCTCCCCAGCCCTCTAAGTGGGAGTCCCCTGTCGGGGGGCGGTCTCCTCCAGGTGGTCACACTGTGGTACCGCCCACCGGATGTCCTCTTTGGGGCCAAGCTGTACTCCACGTCCATCGACATGTGGTCAGCCGGCTGCATCTTTGCAGGTGACGTGCTGGGGCGCTGCAGAGGCACCTTCTTTCCCATTTGGGTTGACAAATAGGGTCTGGAGGGTTCCCTCTAGGGGAAGGGAGGGAGGCTCTGGGACTGGGGCTGGAAGGTCAGGGGGCACCTCAGAGTGAGGGGTCCTTCACATGTCACGTCTTAGTCCCCTGTCTGCCCCCCAGAGCTGGCCAATGCTGGGCGGCCTCTTTTTCCCGGCAATGATGTTGATGACCAGTTGAAGAGGATCTTCCGATATCCTTGTTTTCCTCTGCCTTGAGCCCTCTGGGAGGGGACAGCCCATGGAGTTTTGAGTGCAGTGGGTGAGGGCAGTGATGGTGTGGGGTGGGGTGATGGGGTCTGTAGGGCTTCTCTTGAGGGCAAGGGGAGACAGCAGAGGTGCTGGACACCCTGATTGTCACAGTGCAGATACACACTGGAGAAGGTATGGCTTGGAGACAGGCAGTGCGCCCTGGGGGGCAAAGCCAAGAGGGTGTCCCTCCAGGTGAGAGATGGATGCCAGGATGAAGGAGCCAAAGACAGCAGGACACATTTTGTGGGAGCGGGGCAAGGACCAGTTCATTAGGACTAGGACAGCAGCATGTGGGTTAGACTAGTTAGTGATTGTCATGGGAAACGTGGTTGGATGTACGAGTGACGTGCCCGGGGTTGCTTCTGTCAAGCTCAAGCCAGAGGGTAAAGGGAGGGTGAGAGAAGTAGGTGGTGGGTATGAGGAATCCTCCCCAGGAGGGGAAGAGGCCCTCACCCTGCCCCTGAAGATGCAGCTGTGGCCCTTTCCCAAGTGATCCTTGACTCCGTGGACACGCTGCTGGGGACGCCCACCGAGGAGCAGTGGCCCTCTATGACCAAGCTGCCAGACTATAAGGTGTGATGGGGAATTGGGGGGTCATGGTTCATCAGGGTCACTCTTGTTTCACATTCCTAGCAGCCTCCAACCCCCTCCCCCTACCTCTAGTCTGACCCTCCCTGCCTCTCCACAGCCCTACCCGATGTACCCGGCCACAACATCCCTGGTGAACGTCGTGCCCAAACTCAATGCCACGGGGAGGGACCTGCTGCAGGTAGGTGACTTGGGGTAGAGGGTGGGTCAGGACACTTGCCCAGAGGGGACTACAGGAAGGCAGGGCTCTGGGCAGTGACCTGTCCTGAACCTGCCGCCTCCTTTCCCCCATCTCCAGAACCTCCTGAAGTGTAACCCTGTCCAGCGTATCTCCGCAGAAGAGGCCCTGCAGCACCCCTACTTCTCCGACTTCTGCCCGCCCTAGGCCCCAGGATCCCCGGCCTCCAGGCTGGGGCCTGGCCTATTGAAGCCCCCTCTTGGGAGGGGCAAGATGGTGGGGGTGCCCCTTGCACTGTGCTCCAGCTGTGCTGGGCCCAGCTGGGGTGGGGTGCCTGAGCCTAAGTTTCTCACTCCCTTTGTGGACTTTATTTAATTTCATAAATTGGCTCCTTTCCCACAGTCTGACTGATGTGGTGGTCAAGTGGCTCTACAGGGGCCATGAGCTGGAGGGGTCTCTGCTCTGTTACTGCTGGCCGCAACCCTGCTTCTGGCTCAAAGACAGCACCTTGCTCTTCTACTTGAAGAGGCCATGACCCTCACCCCTCACCCCTGGGACAGGGCAGCACTGTCACTGCACACCCCTCCCTCCCACCTTCCCTCCCTCTGCCCAGGAGGGCCTGACATGGTCCCTTGGAGTGAGGGGGCCAGTATCTAAGAGCAAGAATGGGCTCCCTGCCAGGGTGGGGAGGAAAGGGCTGGGCCTGTCCTTGTGGTTCTCCATATCTCAGGTGGATCCTCTTGTCCCTTCCCTCATCATCCCCTCATACCCAGGCCTGCAGGCTGACACAGGAGAGCCCGAAAGATATGGTTCCATCAGGAACACCCCTTCCCACTCCCTATTTGTCAGTTTCCCAATGTTTGGGGTACAGTGAAAGAGAGGGAAGTTGGGCCTATGGCTGGGGCCTGGTGTGTCCTTATTGGCAGGAAGGGGAAGGGAGAGCTCCCCCAACCCTCACCCCCACCCCCACCCCCACCGTCTCAAGCCTTAGGCCTTTAGCTCTTGTGGGGAGGCTGGGGAGACAGAACTTGTTGGTATGGAGACAGGCTGTGTGCCACACTTGGTCCCAAATGTGGGAAAGGAGTCAGGATATAAGGCAGGACACAAGTGTTCTTGAAAGTGGAGTCACTCCCTGTCTTCTCGCTGCCTCTTCTTGCTGCGCTCTGGGCAGAGCTCTCTTCCAGTTATACCTTCATTGCTGACTGTGATTCTGCGCTCACACCTAAGCCTGGGCTTGGAAGATACCTGTCCTCCCTTCTCTCTAAGATGTCAGTCGGCTAAACTCACTCACACTGAGCTGCAAAGGACTGATAACCTCTTGCTACCATTCTTCCCTAGAGATTCATGGGGGTTCATGGGCCCAGCTCCACATTTCAGAAGCCACCTCCAGCTGGATGATGGCTGGCAGAGGACTTCCGATGCCTGAGTTGGGCTGACCTTGGCTTGGCTAGTCTCTGCCCTGTAAGAGAAACACCTGAGGCTGATGCATTAGGACTTTATTTGGGGTGAAGATGGAAAAGCTACGTGCAGGCTAGGCATGTCCAGGATGTCAGGGTGGGGCTCCGAGGACACAGACAGCAGGCCTAGAGCCGTGTGACAAGGTAGCAGGTGCGGTGGGAGGCGGAGAGAGTCTTGGTGACAGCACAAGGAGGGGTGGGAGGTCTTCGGAACAGAGCAGAGGGCTGGGTGGGAACCAGCACACCCACTGCCCTGCGCCTGTCCCTGCCCTCCCTTGATTTTAGGGGGCCACTATGTGTTACCTGGGGCCCAGGCTGAGGTGGGGAACTTGGGTTCGATGGCTGCCCAGCCCTTCCTGAAGCTGTGGGAGGAGGAGAGGGTCAGAGGTGGGGAGTGGTCCTCCTCCCAGGGACCAGTCAAGGTCACTGCACACCCTCCTGCCTGTTTCTCCTCAGCTGGGGTGGGATGGTGTTCTAGGCTTCAGGGGTGGGGCCTAGAACCCTTGGAGCTGGCAGGGGCTCCAGAAGAGGGGCTGTTACCAGACTGGTGCTGGAATGCCTTTGGGAGTGCCTTCGGTTCCAGAAATATCCCAGGACCTTGTCTCGGAACACCTGGAGGCAAGCAGGATGGGAGGTGGCAGTGTATGCCTTCCCCCTCATCCTAGGGGCCCTCAATCCCACCTCCCACCCCCTGCAGTGGGGGCCCTGGCCCACCTCACAGAGGTAGTCTAGGATCTCGAGGATGGTGAGCAGGCTGGCCCCGATGAACAGCCCCATCTGGCCCCCAATGTCACCTGTGGAGACAGGGTCACCCTTCAACTCACAGCCACCTGCCTGCCCACACCTCCCCAGCCCTGGGGGCCCTGCACACACACCAAGCAGCTCCGACATCTCATAGGCCTTCTTCTGTTCCACGGTCTCATAGTTGAGGGCCTCGAAGAAGATGTCCAGGGCCAGCACGTTCTCCCTGAGGACAAGAAAGGCCTCAAATGTGTATTGGCCACCGCTTGGTGCCCACTGCTGGCAAGAAGCAGCTGTGGGTTCTCCCACTCCTTTCAAGAATCCTGGGAGGGGCCAGGCACGGTGGCTTACATCTGTACTCCCAGCACTTTGGGAGGATGAGGAGGGAGGATCTTGAGGCCAGGAGTTTGAGACCAGCCTGGGCAATATAGCGAGACCCCCTCCCCCTATCCCCCGCCGTCTCCATTTTTTAAAAGTAAAGATTAAAAAAGGAAAGGAAAAAAAGGTCCCTGGGAGGGGGCGTCAGCATCCCCCAGGGGGCAGAAAGGTTAAGCAACCAGCACGGAGCCCCAGAGCCAGTGAGGCTGCGGAGGCTGCCTCCGCCCGGGCTGTGCGCACGAGAGCTCCAGCTTGCCCCGCTCCGCCCCGTCGGGAGCCCCCGGCTCGGAGGAGCCCGCCCGCCCCGCACAGCTCACGCGATGTAGGCCTCGCTGCGGTTGAGCTTCCGGGCCAGGAAGCGCGCGGCGGCGCGGCTCGGGATCCGCACCATGGAGAGCTCCTTGGCGTAGCGCGTGCTGGCGCACGGGTTGGGGCAGGCGCATGAGTCCTTGCGAAGCATGGCATCTGCGGGCCACCGGGCCGCGTCAGCCGCCAGCTGGGCGGAGCGGGGCGGACGGGAGGTGGGGGAGCCTTGCCCTTACCTATGGCCGGGTGGGCACAGTTCTTGTACTGCTGGGGGCTGCACACTGGCGCGTCGCCTGCGGGTGCGGGGGAGATGGCTTCAGGAGCAGCCCCAGCTCTCTGGGCCCTGCTCACCATGGGACGAAGACCCCAGCCCCTCACCTGGCATGTACATCATTCGGCAGCCGCACTTCCGAGCCACGTAGCGGGTTTCGCAGGCCAGGCGACACCCCATTAGAGTATAGGGAAGGCTGGGGCTGGGGGAGCTCAGGGGATCAGAGGGCTCTGGCTCATAGTTGGGGTTCAGAGATGCTGAACTGCAGTCGCCCCAAGGCGGTGGCAGGAAGCTCAGCTGTGGGGGGACAGGGTTAAGGAGACTTCCCAGAGAGCGTGAGAGGTCAGCTGGGGAGAGGCCCCTGGACAGGTCTGAGGAGCTGAGGGTTTAGGGCCCGTGGTGGTGTGGGCTTGAATAATGGCTGTAGAGGCACATGGGAGGGTACCTGCTGCTGCTGGCAAGAAACAAAGGTCTGGTAGCCCGGGGACACCCCCAAGCCCAGCTGGTCGATGATGGGCGGCTCCTCCTGGCTGTGGATCTGCACTCGGATCCCCACCTCAAAGGGGGTCTCCTCTGTCGGAGACGGACCTATGAGGCCTGAGACCCTGTGGTCAGGTCTCCTGCCCAACCAGACAAGACCTCTCACTGCAGCCCCCTCTCCCCAGGACAGAGATGAACCAGCCCAGCCCCTTTCGCAGGTTCTGGGGGAACACCCTGACGCCTCCTCTCCTCCTCTCCTTCCCCTAGCCTTTTGCACCCCATCCATGCCCTCCCCCAGCCTCGTTCATGTGCTCCCTACCGTTGTCCCTCCACACAGGTAGATATTCCTCCTGCTGCACGTCCAGCATGATGTCCAGCCCATTGCCCATGCCACCCCTAGTAGTGGTGAGCAGCTCTGCCCCATCGGCACCAGAGTTAAATGTGTAGCACTTTCCCATCCGTGTGAAGATCTGGGGCGGGCAGACAGGGTGATGGCCATCTCCCCCAGGCAAGCACATGGTCATGGGACCTCTCCCCACCTCATGGTATGTTTGCGTCTCTTCTTTAAACACTGAAGCCCACATCTCAATGCCCCCAGCCCCACGCTCCACGTGGGCACATGTTGCAGGACGCTCTTGGGAGCCCATCGACCCAACTCCTCCTCCCCGCCAGTCCCCACCAAAGCCCAGGGCACAGCCTCCAGGTTTTCCGTGTTTCTCTGGAGACTGGGGGAAAGGAAACGGGCCCCTGTGGCTGTCCTCCAGGGCTGGCAGTATGTTGAAAAGGTAGAGGGAAAGCGAGACCCCCTCCTGGCAGAGACAGGGGTCTTCTGCCCCAGAATGGTCCCACCAGGGAGGACCTCCAGCCCCAGTAGCAGGGCCACCATGGGCCAGACCTCAGGCCTAGGGCCAGCCAGGGTCAGTGTGGCCTCACATGCTCCCCCCGGGCTGGGAAACAGAGACAGCCCCAAGGAGGACAGCTTCCTGGGCTGCACGGAGTGGCATTGGGGGGTGGGGAGTCCGTGGCTGGTAGGAAGGAAGAAGTCCCCTGGCTTTGGGGGAGTCTACGCTGGCTAGGGGATTGTGGGTGCTGGGCAGGGACGGCTCGGCTCTCTGGGTCCCTGGCAGGACAGGTAGGGAGGTCAGCTCACCGTGGTGAAGTTCTCAGGCCCACAAGGTTCGCCACGGAAGCGACAGTCCAGCAGCATGTCGTCCAGGGAGTGCCCAGCACGGGCATAGAGTTGCGCCATGTCAAAGGTGGGACTGGGCATGAAGCCGGGCGGTGCGGGGGGCCGGCCCAGGGCGCGCAGGAAGGCGGGGTGCTCTGCGGGATCCAGGCCCAGCAGCGCAGACCCAGCCCAGTGCAGGTCGTTGGGCGTTAGGCGCGAGCGGCGCAGCGGGTTGATGTTGCACAGGGTAACGGCCGGGAAGACGAGCCGGTGGCTTTCTCGCTCATCCAGGGCAGTCTGGTGGTGGAATTCCCTGTAGTAGCGCACTCTCTCAGCCACCTGGTAGAGGAAGGTGGCCACTGACAGGACCACGGCTGCTGCCCACATCCCCCGGCGCAGGCTCAGGCTGCCTGGCCCGAAGACGTGGCCCAGCCCATGCATCGAGCAGTTGCTGGCAAACACGCGGATGTCGGAGGCCGGCCGCCGGGCCTCCTCTGGGCCTGAGGTGGGCTTCATGGCCAGAACCCAGGAGGGGGGCCAGCTACAGAGGCTTGGAAGGAGCGAGAGAGGGTCAGTCAGGGGGCTGAGGGGGCTAAGATAGGATTCAGGGGGCCAGGCAAGGAGAAGAAAGGAAAGGGTGGGAGAGAGCCAAGGTTGGGAGGCAGGGAGGCACTAGCCTGACAGGATTGGAGGAGGTAACCTGGCCGGTCAGGTCCCACTCAACCTTCCCGAGGAACAGGCGGTGGCTCCACTGGGCTAGACACTGGGCTGGGGACTCCGCAGCAGACCAGGTGGGGCACAGCTGACCGTGGCAGGCAGGGGCTGCGGAGCGGTGCTGAGGTGGTGCTGAGCCGGCGCTGCTGCAGAGGATTGGGTTTCAGCAGTGAGGGAGGAAAGGGGGCCGGCAGAGCAGTCTGGGGGGGTAGGGGAGGTCCCTGGGGCCCCAGGCTGAGCCATTAGTGCAGCATGGAGGGGGGCATGGCTGTCCAAGACGAGAGCTGCCAGGAGGAAATCACAGTGATCCCAGGGAAAGCTCGAGGGAAGTCCAGGGGTAAATTGAGCCTAGAGGTGCCTTGGAGGCCCCCTAGGCTCCGAGTTGCAGCCCCTGTACACCGGCCCCGAGGGTCGGTCGCTGACCCCTGGCCTAGCTCCTCCCTCCTTTTGCCTCTCCGGCCTTCCCTCTAGCTTCACCCAGGATCATCTGTTCCTTCCCAAAGACCAGAGCTGGCTCTTGGCCAAACTTGGAAGTGGTTGGAAGGTTGGCATCGGCAAATCTCTTCTTTCTGTGCCCCCACCATCTCAGCCTACACTGGATGGCCAGGGCACTCTTCACGTCCCACTTCCAGGGCCCGTCTGTTTCCTAAGTGTCCCTCTCTCCCTAGGGAGTCACAGCCTACCTCCCCACACTTAGGCCCTCCTGTTGAGGATGTTGGCCTCTACAATGGTTATGGGCTCACCTGCCACCCCACGTAGAACATGGGTGCCCCACCTGCCACCGTCCTGGGTACCACGGATGCCCACCTGCCACCCTCCCGGGTACAACATGGGTATTCTGTGATTTCTCATTTTACACTGCTATATCCAGGACCTGGAAAACCTTCATTTTTCCAAAGGGCTGCATACCACCCAGTATGTGCACACACCAGTTTATTGAATGACTGCCCCACTGATGCACTGGGGGTCTCCAGTCTTTCCATTACAAACAATGTTGCCGTATCATCACACAGATGTGAACTCCCAGGATGACTGCTGGGCCAAGAGACCACTGGGTTGGTAATCTGATAGATGACACTGAATTTCCCCCACAGGAGACATGCCATTGTGCACTTCCACCAGTAATGTGGCAGCAGGCCTGCTTTGCATGGGGCTTTTCTAGAGTCACTGTGTCCACGGTGTGAGACAGCGAGCCTGCAGAGGGCAGAGCCAGCGTATTATCTGACCTAAGATGCTTCCAATGATCCAGGGGAGAAGGTAACAGGTTGGGGGTGGGGACAGGCTCCCAGAGGGTGGGCAGAGACCTCCAGGAGGCTGTGTTACGTAGTGCAAGCTAGTGCCAGCTGACCTGAAGTGGGATGAGGACACCGTGCTGATCCATGGTCCTGGAGATGAGGTGCTGCCCAGCTCAAGGCCACAGGGGCCAGCCCAGGAACACCTGAGGTTCCGGGAGGAAGCCCTGGACCTGGGGAGGAGAGCCAGGCAGTCCTCATCAGTGTCACACTCTGCATTTGGCTAAATGGTCATCTGCCCCCATGTATCTGGGAGTGAGGTGACATTCCTTGTAGACCTGTGGGAAAGCCGGCTCATCTCCATTAATTTACTAAAATTTATTTCTGTTCTATCTTTGCCCAAAAAAGCACCTGAGGTCGCCAGGCTGACTTTGGTGGGCTTTTTTTGACCATGAGTGGTAGAAACATGGTTCCACCAACCAAATGTGTACACACACCATGCTGCAACTGCTGGGCCACCTGTCTGTCCTCCCAACAGGACACAAGCTTCATGGGGGAAGGGACGGTCCTCATTCCCCATCGTGGGCTCAATGGCACATGACAGGTGCTTGATTAATAAACACTTTGGAAGGACTGAGTACCATGGTTACAGCACAGGCGTACCAGTTCCCCAGAGCCACAGTGCTGTGCTTTGCAAGTATTGTACTGTAGATGATCCCACTCACACTCTCAAAACAGGCATTCACCATTAAGCACAGCTAGGCTCCCGCTCTCCACTGTGGAGCTAAGGCCGAGGTGACGTTAGGAAGACGGCACGGCTCTTGCAATCTAGCTCTTCCAGCTGGACTAGCTGTGAGGTTTCGCTGCTTCTCTAGGGGGCGGGTAAAGGGCTGCACTTGGAGAAGCCATCCAGAAGATATAAATCTGGTGTCAGAGGCATCTTGGGCAGCCCGAGGCTGGTGACTGAGCGGGTGAAGCAGAAATCGCCTTGGCTGGTTGCCTGGTGAGGGAGGGGTCAGGCCAACAAGCAGGGCCCCGGCAGGGCTTGTGGACTCGCCAGAAGCTAAGGTCCTACTCTGGCCTGCCCTAAGGAGAGGTTTAGCTGTGAACCAGCCCCAGGCTCTGCTCCTGAGCCTCCACTGCCTAGAGACATAGCCTCTGATCTGTCAGGAAGTGGGATATCAAATCAGGGTGGATGTGGGCCTGGGGTTTTTGGATGGCTTGTCCCCAAAGCACCATCTAGTCCTACACCATACCCACAAGAGCCTGTGGGTCCCACTCTGGCTCCTGCACACAAACTTGAGCCACTGCTGCCTCTTCCAGGATGGCCTCCCAGCAGCACCAGCTGCTCCATCAGCGCACTGCACCACACCCCTGAAACAGGGTACCATCCTTCTTTACACAGGATATATCTCGTACACTTGGCTGGCTGTGAAGGTGCACCGCAGGCACCACCTCTTCTCCTGCCCCGGGGAGCAGGGCCCCGTGTAGTCCCACAGCCTGGGTGTCACTGGATGGGGGGAAGGATCCCAGTAGGAAGTGACACTGGCACCAAGGTGGGGAGGGCTGGTGCATCTGCAGCAGTGCAGGGACACAAGGTCCTGCTGGGTGCCAGTTCAGCCAAGGCCCTACTTCTGTGCCTTTCCAGGCCCCTCAGAAGCCAGCTGAAGCGTAGCCCCCCATCCATAGCCTCGGGGCCACAGGCGCCCGTCACTCGGGATGTCTGCCTTCCCCTTTCAAGATGCGCCTCCCAGAACTTGCAGGGGGCGCTGGCCTGTCCACAGCCGCGCCCTCCTGGACCAATTCTGTACTGGATTCTGCAGTAGTTGCTCCATTTAGTTCTGTACTTGTCAGCATTGTGGGCAGGAAGCTGAGAGCTTCAGGTGGGCATCGGCCCCTCCCATCTCCTTCAGAGCTGGGTGTTCTTGGTGTAGATGGAGGCTGGTCCACGATCTCAGTGGGTGAAAGACTCCAGGCACACAGGGCAGGGTCGCTGGAAGACAGCCAGGCAGGCTGGCGCCTCTCGTGGGAACTGGCCACTGTGGCCCCGTCCCTCCTACCCTGACCCAAGTGTTGGGCCCTGTGAGGCCTGTGTCCCTTAGGGGTGGGGGTGAATCTAGAAATCGGGACTGTGTTCACTGTGCAGGGAGAAGGGAGGGAGGCTGTTTGGAAGACAGGGACTGTGGGTTCCGGGGTGAGCCAGCTGATAGGCTCCTTCTCCCATGGTCCAGTGAGGCAGTGGGGACACAGGAGAGGGAGTCAGTCCCCAGTCTAGAGAAGTGAAGTCCTAGCAAGGGTGTGGGAAGAGCCTTAGGTTTGAATTCCCAGGCCCACTTCCAGACCCTGATTTTTAAAAACTCCCTGGGCCTGGCCAACTTGAGGCTGCTGGGTGGGGCAGGGACACTGGCCAGAATGTCTCTGAGGTCTGGAGGGGTCTGGGCAAAGGGAGAACAGAGTGGGGAACTCTGCCTCTGCCCATTGCAGCCCAATGACTCTGGCAGACTCTGGTGGGAGGGAGGCAGCCGGCAGGACTAGGGAGGGGAGGGAGGGACTGGCCTCCCCTGCCAGCCGCTCGGCCCCGGCTTTATTGTGAGCAGGAGCAGCCGCAGCGACTCTCCACATGCTGGCCCTCCCGGGGGCTCAGTCTCCAGTAAGCTCCCGGCAGGCTGAGCCCCAGCCCTAGCACTGATGCTTGGCAGTGACCACACCTCGGGGGCCCTTCTCAGGACTTGTGCTGCTGGCTCCTGGGGCCTTCTGGCTTTTTGGGCGGTGGGGCCACCGTCCTCGGGGCATCCAGGGCCTGCCTCCGGATAAGCTCGGCGTACAGCCCGCCTTTCTTCAGGAGCTCTTCATGGGTGCCAGCCTGGAAGATGGGAGGGAGGGGCGAATGGTTGCTCCAAGGCATGCAGGCTTCAGAATGTTCCGAGGGCTAAGCCTCTCTATCAGCCATTGGGCCCACGGTCACTTAGGCCACTCTGAAACCAATGCTCAATCTGAAAGGAACCGCCACTGGCATGCTGCATCAGTTACTGCCACTTCCCTACTTAGCTGAATTTTGGAAGAACATGATTCCCTGTCCCGCTTACAGAGCCCAAGGCTCCAATTCAGGATCCATCTCCCTGCACAAGCCCCTCAGCCTTGGCTTGAATGAGCGGCTGTGAACCAATGCCACACAGCCTCTGGGGTCCTACTTCTGACTCCCGGCACAGGTTCCTTGGCGCTGCTTCTTCTGCAACTGATACCCTGGGCAGCCAGCCCTGTTCCTCGCTCACAGCACCATACTCTTTCTGAGTATGTTTCCTTTTTGTTTTTTTTAGACAGGGTCTCATTCTGATGCCAGGCTGGAGTGCAATTGCACCATCATTGTTCACTGCAGCCTCAACCTCTGGGGTCAAGTAATCCTCCCGCCTCAGCCTGCAGAGTAGCTGGGAGTACAGGCGCATGCCATCACATCCAGCTAATTTTTTATTGGGTATTCTGTAGAGACAGGGTCTCACTGTGTTGCCCAGGATGGCCTCAAGAGATCCTTCTGCTTTGGCCTCCCAAAATGCTGGGATTACAGGCACCCAGCTAGTACTTTTCCTTTTGATCCTGGGAGCTGATGGTGAAACTATACTATCCCAGGGGACAGAGGAAGAAACTGAGGGCCTGAGAGGCCAGGGCTTGGCTGAATGCAGGAACTCCTGACTCTACATGGGATGCTGCTTCCAGAATACAGCCCCGAAGGCCCTGGGGCCAGGCCACACCTTCCTGTAACTCATTGCAGCATTGTGCCACTGTTCGTGATGAAGCCATCCTCAACCCACTGATCCACGCCCCCAGGACGACTAACCTCCCAGACACGGCCATCGGCCATGACGATGATGCGGTGGGCCCCACGGACGGTGCTGAGCCGGTGGGCAATTACCAGCACCGTGCGGCCTGCACTGGCCCGGTCCAGGGCCTCCTGCACAACCCGCTCAGACTCTGCGTCCAGCGCGCTGGTGGCTTCATCCAGTATCAGCACTGTGGGCTGCTTGATAAGGGCTCGGGCAATGGCCAGGCGCTGCTTCTGGCCCCCAGAGAGGGTAGTGCCCCGTTCACCTGGGAAGGGAGGGACAGAGCAGGAGCCTGAAGCTGTGCACTTGAGGGTGGCCCACAAAGGGGCACAGGGTCCTTCCTGAACTCCCATCAAGATCCTCTAAGTGCCCCCCTCAGCACTGTGCACCCTCCTTCCTCTGACTCCCACCCCGCACTGTGCACGCTTGTCCTGCCTCTGACTCCCTCACCCCGCACTGTGCACGCTTGTCCTGCCTCTGACCTTCCACCCCGCATTATGCACCCTAGTCATGTCTCTGACCCCCCACCCCACACTGTGTACCCTCCTCCTGCCTCTGACCCCCCACCCCGCACTGTGCACACTCCTCCTGCCTCTGACCCCCCACTCCGCACTGTGTACACTCCTCCTACTGCTGGGTTGCCCCTGCACTGGCTCATCCCACCTCTGGGTCCCTCAGTCACTGTGCACACTTGCCCTGCCTCTGAGGGTGGCATGACACCTGCCAGCAGGGCTTGGTGCACTCCAAGGGAGTTGCCAAATGCCCCTCCCCAGCCATGGCAGTGCCTCAGGCCAGGATGACCCACACCCTGCCCTGTGCCTGCAGCTCCAAGCCACCTTCCCAGCCTCCCGGGTCTCTGTGGCTGTGGGGAACATCCAGCACCCAAACATGGGCTCTGGGGTCCAGTGACTCCAGGGAAGTGGGATTCGAAGCCCACAGAGGACAGCGTAAGTGGCAGCCTGGGAGCCAAAAAGAACTTCAAGGTGACAGCAGGGTGACAGGTCAGTAAGGACGCAGTCCCAAGAAGGCCCAAATGAGCAGAAAGTACTAGGATCAGAGACACAAGGAAAGTGCCATCCAAGAGAGATGTGGGAGAACACCCAGTGAGGACAGCTGGCATCTGGACAGTACATGCACATGGCTGGAGGAGCCATCTACAATACGATGGCTGGGCTGGAGACACTGACCCCACAGCTCAGAAGGCTGGACTCAGACTGACCAGAGTTGAGAAGCTCAGGTATCCTTGCATCCTGAGAAGTGCTGAAACACTGTGCAACAGAGCCAAGACACTGGCCGAGAAACATGGCCCCGAAGGCTGGAAAAAGACCTGGGAGCTCCACACATCAAGCTGCAAGGTGCACGCCCTGCAGTGCCAGGCTGCGTGTTCCTAGTTCAGAACCACCAGAGCCCTCTCCTGGGGCCCATCCAGTCACCCCGATTCTAATGAGGAGAAACGACTTTAGAGATGAAAAGCTCAGGAAGGAAACAGGAGCCAGAGGGGGATGGACGGTGGAGAGGAGGCAACCCCCGTTTCTTCTGTTCAGTCTGGGGAAGTGGCGGCTTTTTAGACTCAGTGAGGACTCCAAATACCATGCATCACTGTGTCCCTGGCCAGGGGCCTGTCACATGCCCCCTGTCGCATTCTCCAGTTCCTCCTGGAGCCCGTCCTGTCTCTGCAGGCTGCTTGGTCTGCTGGTGCTAAACCACATTGGCCTGGACTCCCCTGTCCCTACAGAACAACTCTGTCCCCTTTGGCTGTGGTTCTGGTCTTCCCTGACACAGCTGTCTTTCTCCCCAGCTGTCCCTGCTGCCCTCAGTCCCGCTGGGCTGCTCACTGCTCCTGCGGAATCCTGTGTCCCAATGCCTGACCACCTGGTTCCCGGCAGACCCAAGCACCTACCAATGATGGTGTTGTAGCCCTCGGGGAAGCTGGTGATGAACTCGTGAGCATTGGCTTCCCGGGCGGCTGCGTACACCTCTTCATCGGAAGCTGCCAGCTTCCCAAAGCGGATGTTTTCCATGATGGTCGTCCCAAACAGGACGGGCTCCTGTGGGTGAGGGGTTATGGAGACAGAGTCCACAGAAACATTCTCTTTGCCCCAGAAACCTGAGGGGCCACCATGTACATTGGGACATTCCATTTGGTGGATTAGATTAGGATCTCCTGAAGAACGAGACGTTCAAAGTCAGAGGTGAAGTGAGGACGCAGAGTGGCCCCCAAAGGGAAGGACAGGTTGACCTCCTACCAAGGACCCAGAACCCTCCTCAGGAGCAGGAGTGGGAGGAGCTGGCAGGGCGGGGTGCTGGGAACTGGGAGCTTGCATTTGCCTTTCTTCTGCACGGGCACTCTCCCTTGGGGACAGCAGGCATGCCCTCTTCATTCACGGCCCTCGAAGGGAAGGGTGGACCCTCGCTGGGCAGTGCCACCTCAAGCAGAGGGAGAACAGCTGTGGGCTCAGCAACTCCACCACGGGCTTCTCTAGACCTGGATGCTATGGGATTTTCGAGAATCCCACGGATTCCCCATCTGTGTAGACTGTTGTAAATGGGGACAAAGCGTCCCTGCTCTGGGAGACCAGGCAGAGCTGTGGCTGCTGCCGGGACAGACAACAGCCGAGGACATGTGAAGAAGGCCAGGAGTCTCCTGAGAGCAGCAAGGGTGATGAGGGTGGAAAGAAAAGAAAAGGCACCTGAGGACTAAGAGGGGCAGGGCCCAGGGGAGGACGGGCAGTGGGAGCCAAGGGCTGCCCATGTGGCCCCGCACCTGGCTGATGAAGCCGACAACCTGGCCCCGGAGCCAGGAGGGGTCAAGGGTGCGCAGGTCCCGCCCGTCCAGCATCACCACGCCTGCCGTGGGGTCGTAGAAGCGCTCCAGCAGGGCAGCCACGGTGGTCTTTCCTGGGGAATTGGGTTGAGAGGGCGGGAGGCCAGGGATTCTGGGGATTGTCCCAGGAAAGAAGGCCCCTTGTGGCAGTGGAGGAAGGGACCCCACCGGGGGGGCAGGGCTCACTGCTCCCAGCCTTGCTCTGAGTGGCTGCTAGAGAAGAGTCAGAGGGTGAGGGGAAGGTGGTGGGCTCCCCTTACCTCCCCCAGACTGGCCCACGAGGGCCACGATCTTGCCAGGGGGCAGCGTCAGGGTGAAGTCTTTCAGCACCTCGAAGCCGGGGCGGCAGGGGTAGCTGGGAGGAGCCGAGAGACCCCCAGTCAGACCAGGCTCCCAGCCCTTGTTGCCCGGGTCCCTCCTGAAGTCTCCCTGTAGCCCTCTGAGAGGGCCTGTTTATGGGGGGCATTAAGCCAGACCTCCATTCCCGAATCCTCTCGCCTCATCCTCAGCCCAGGGACCCATCCCCACACCTGCTCACCCGTGCTGACCTGAAGCAGACATTCTGAAACGTGACGGAGCCACGCAGGTGCTCTTTGGGGATGCAGCAGCCCCCAGACAGTGGGATGCAGGGGCTCAGGGCCATGTACTCAAAGACCCGGGCGCCTGCACTCAGCCCCCGGATCACCTGTGGGAGGGGATCCAAAGTCCGCAGAGAGGCAGGAGTGGGGGTGACCACAGCAGCTCCAGGGAGTGGCCGTGGCTCTGGGCTGGGGTCTCCCCAGCTCCTCTGCCCGCCCACACCCAGTCAACAGGCAACTCCCACAGTGGCACACACATGGCACAAACTCCACACCCCAGGCCCTCCACCCTACTGGCCACTCACCTGACCAAACAGGACAGAGAGGTTGGCCATGGACCTGGCAGAAGAAGGAGAGAGGGTTGGAATAGATGGGAACAAGAAGAGCCAGAGAGGAGGGGAAGGAAGCCATGGTGGGATGGGGGAGCAAGGAAGCAGGTGGCCTGTGGCCAAACGCAGACTGCTCCTGCACCATGGGGGTGTGGAGCCCTGAGACGCAGCAACACCAGATCGCTGAGCCCTGGCTCCCTCCTTGGCCGGATGAGGATGACAGCTGTCCCTTAGCCCAGCCCAAGCCCCAGGAGGGGGTGCTCCAGGAGGAAATGGAAGTGAAGGCACAGGCCTCTGCGGGTGTCCTCCACTGCCCTGGGCTGTGGTCTGCAGGGTGAGGCCTGTGCACACATGTAGGGGTGATACCGGCCCACGAGGAAGGGAGTCCAGCTGACCCACAAACTCCCTGCTGTGCCCTGAGGATGCGGAGGCCGCCACCGTGAACACAGATCAAGGGTGCGTGGCTCACAAGGGGAGAGCAGATCTAACACTGCAGATGCTTGGGGAAGCAACGACTTCGGCTGACATTTAGGTGGAAAAAGTGATGTTACATCTTTTTGGAGAAAGAAGAAAACAGAAGACACTGGGTCACAGGGGAACTCTCGGGAGAACCCAAAACAAAATTCCCTGAAAAAAACTTTTCTCATGAGCTTGCCCTGCAGGTGAGTATACCCACGGTGTTATCTGTCTAGACAGTGGGTGGCCTCCTTTGCCCCGGCAGGGCTGGGGTAGGGCTGGCCGGCTGCCAGGAGGCTGGGGAGGAAGGTGAGTCACTGGTCCCTGACTGGCCTGGCTGACCCGTGACAGTGTGTGTATGCCTGGTCCCCTCCTTAAGAAGAGGAAAGACTGACTCCCCAGCAACCCTTCAGCTGCAGACTCACTTCTTCCAGCACTGGGGTGGGGGTGAGTGGGAGGAGCCTCAAAACCCAAAAGGAAAAGGTCCCAGTGGACTCAGCGCAGTTAGCACTTGCTAAAGGGAGCGGGGAGGCTCCAGGCAGGAAGGAACCAGCCCAGTCAGCTATCTGTTGATGAGCAGGGGAACATTCTCCACCTGGCAAAGGGGCTGGGCAGCAACTGAAATTCAAAATGCACATGACTCACTGGAGTGCGATGACCCTGCTCTCAGGGGCCATGGGCTGTGGGCTACGGGCCTGCTCCCAGGTGAAGCCTGGCCCTGATTCTGATGAGGCGGCTGGGCCCTGCTTGCTGTCTGTCTAGGCGCCTCCCCATCTCCATCAGGAGTGCTGAGGATGGGCTCATAGGTTAGGCTGCCTGAGGCAGGCTGGGCCATCCTGCTCCCCTCTCTGCCTTCTCTCTGCTAGACCCCAGTGCCAATGCATGGGCCCTTGGCTTAGCTGGCAGGACCCAGTGGGAAACACATCAGCTGCTTTATGCAACAAACCCAATTCCCCCAAGGTGGGTGGGGAAGAATCTCCACATAGCCAGGGCTAGAAGGACCCCCAAGAGGATGGGTCTAGGGCCTGTGGCTGTGGGAGCAGCCAGCGAAACAGCACAGACAAGCCCCTGGGGGTTCTTGTGTGTGTCATAAAATTGCGGGATGGCCAAGCAGTACGGTGAGAGGTAAAGTCAGAGTCTCAGCCGGGCACAGTGGCTCACGCCTGTAATCCCAGCACTTTGGGAGGCCAAGGCGGGCGGATCACGAGGTCAGGAGATCAAGACCATCCTGGCTAACATAGTGAAACCCCGTCTCTACTAAAAATACAAGAAAAAATTAGCCGGGCGTGGTGGTGGGCGCCTGTAGTCCCAGCTACTCTGGAGGCTGAGGCAGGAGAATGGCGTGAACTGGGGGGCAGAGCTTGCAGTGAGCTGAAATCGCACCACTACACTCCAGCCTGGGTGACAGAGTGAGACTCCGTTTCAAAAAAAAAAAAAAAGTCAGAGTCTCAGGCCCTAAAGGGGAAGTGGGGGCCCCGAAGCGGGAGGGTTGGGGCTGGACAGTACAGCCACCCTCCCTACAGGGAGACTGTCCCACCATTGCCCACCACAGAGGGCTAAGGGGTAATTTTATTAAGGGAGCCACTGGGCTTTTCTTGTTTTTTTTTTTGAGACGGAGTCTTGCTCTGTTGCCAGGCTGGAGTGCAGTGGCGCAATCTCAGCTCACGGCAACTTCTGCCTCCCAGGTTCAAGCGATTCTCCTGCCTCAGCCTCCCGAGTAGCCGGGACTACAGGCGTGCATCACCACGCCCAGCTAAATTTTGTATTTTTAGTAGAGACGGGATTTCACCATATTGGCCAGGATGGTCTTGATCTCTTAACTTCATGATCTGCCCACCCTGGCCTCCCAAAGTGCTGGGATTACAAGTGTGAGCCACCGTGCCCGGCTGCCACTAGGCTTCTTATGGGTCCTCAGGACTAAAACGACTGTCCTGTTTGGTGAGGCCAAAGCTCTGGTCAAGGGAAGTGGGTCAGCACTGAGCAGGGCAGGCAGTGGTGGAAGCAGCCTCCGCCAGGCCCCATCTCTGTCACAGGGAGAACACCTGAATTCCAGAGCCACGAGGGAATAGCCCCCTGGGCTGGAGGAGGGACGAGGCTGCCCAGGAGGCCTGAGCCCAGGACCAGAAAGGGTCTGAACGTGTTCAGATGAGAGAGCATCGAGCAGAAATGGGGCCCACAAGGGTGTCCGTGCATCTGCGGAAATGGGAGGAACATCTCTGTGGAAGGTCAGGTTTGGGGCTGAAAATGGGAGCCTGTCTCCATCCGCCTCCCCCTTCCTGGGACAGTACGCCCTACAGGGAGGGCTTCCGATCCGGTGGACACCCACGCAGGGGTGCACCATGCAGCAGGGGGAGGACACATGCCTCACAGAATGGGGTGGGGGCCCGGGAGGAAGAGCAGGGGGCTTGTTGGGGAAGGAGGGGGCGGCAGAGGTGATGCACGGTTGGTGGAGACAGGTCTTTACCCTTTGATGATCTGTTGCGGCATATTTACTATCTCATTATTTACCATATTTATGTAGAACTGCTTTTGTTTAGCTTGGAAAGAGATCGGAACGGGGAGGCCCGCCTTGAGCTGTCTGGTGATCGGCTCTGGTCACCCCAGAGGCTCAGCTAAGCGGGTGGTTTCGGACCAACGCAAAGCAATAAGCTATAAGGGTGGGGTGTGTAGGGACAGGGGTCAATTTGTCATCCCTGGAAGTGGCAGGCATAGGGAAGGGCAGCTCACAAAGCCTGTCAAGGATGGTCCTTCCATGCATAGAATGTCACAGCCTGCAGCGGAAGAGAATTCGGACAGGCTGCAACACGGAGGAAGCTGAGGACACAATGTGGAGTGACAAAACTCTGTCACAAAAGGACACAGTCTGACTCCACTTATAGGACGTCTCTAGAGTTGTCAAATCATAAGGACAGAAAGCGCAATGGTGGGTGCCAGGGGATTCGCTCCGCTCTGCCAGATAAGAGTTCTGGAGACGGACGGCGGTGCCAGCCACACAGCAATGTGAGTGCACCCACTGCCAATGAGCCGCACACTTCAAAATGGTTAAAATGCTGCATTTTATGTTACGTGTACTTTACCACAGCTAAAACAAATTTTAAAAACCTGTCAAGGAAACTTCTGGGTCCTTTGGAAGGCTGAAGATGACAAGCACCTGCCTGCTGCAGCGCCACTGCCCCGGCCGGGAGGGTTGCTATGGGCCCTGAGGGGTTCTCTCTCCCCGACCCTATGCATCCCTGGGGGAGCTGGGCAGGCCTGGGGCCGCACAGCAGTCAGCCCCCAGAGAAGGCTGCACCCGTGTCCCCTGACCCAGCAGGGCTCTGGAGGGTGGCAGGGGGATCTGTAGCGATGGGAACGGCCCCCACTTACCTTTGTACTGTCTGGGAGGCCACCAGGAAGGACATGAGGTCTCCCCCTGTCAGCTGCTGTCCAGCCACAAGGGAGCCCCCAATAAACAGGGTACCCAAGACCATGCCTGCAGGAGAGGGTACAGTGAGGGAGGACGAAGTAGGAGCAGAGGAAACAGCGCTGGGCCTGCTCTGCCAGTGCTGGCTGCGAGAGTCAGGTGAGGCACATGGCTGGTCCCAGCCCTGGCTTCCTCCTCGGAAGAGCAAGTCGGGGTGGGCACGCCTCCATGGCCTCCTCGAGGGTGGCCCTGTGCGTTCCGCATGGGACCCCATAGCTGGGTTGGGACATCGGCACCCTCCCTTTACCTGCAAGAGTTAGCAGCTGGCCCGAGGCGAATGCAGGCAGCCAGCAGATGGAGGGCGGGCCTTTGCCTGCCTTGGCCGCTCCCAGCTCCTCCCCAGCCCACAAGTGTCCCTCCAACCCCCAACTGGCTCACTCACAGTTGAAGGCGATGTTGGAAAGCCCTTGGAACAAGGCGATGCCCCGGCCCAGCTCCTCTGCCCGGCAGCGGCATGCTTCCAGCTCTGCCCCGTAGCGCCTAGTGACAGAGGCCAGTGCACTCAGGAGGCAGCTGGGCTGGCACGAAGGGTGGGCAGGGTGTGGGGGGCATCTCTGCTTTGTGCTTGGCCCTCCCAGGACTCACTCTTCTTCCCGTTGCTCCATGGCGAAGGCACGCACAGTCCGGACGTTGCCCAGGGCCTCATCTGCTACGCCCATTGCCCTGGCGATCTGCAAGGAGTTCAGGAAACGGGACAAGGAGTCCAGGTTGGGGAGAGGGAGGAGTTCCAGGGAGTGGAAAGAGAAACGGTGTGGGGAGAGTGAGGAGGATGGTCAGGAATGCCGGTACCTGCTCCTGACACTGGCGAGACAATTTGCGGAGGCCGGAGCCCATCAGGGTGCCCACTCCCATCAGAGCTGGCGTGGCCACCATCAGCAGCAGCGTGAGGCGTGTCGACAGCATGGACAGGGACACCAGGCAGCCTGCCACCTGGGTGCAGCTTCGCAGCCCCTAGGGAGGGGGAGGGAAGGCGGGAGGCTACAGCATCCGCACCATGACAGGAAGGACTTTTCCAAGGGTCAGCTGGCTGCAGCTCTGCACTCCCAAGGCCAAGGCCCCAGGTCTTGGCCCCTGGGAGACCCAGTGGCAGTCCACCGGTCACAGTACATAACCCTAACTTGGCCAGTTTGGGTGCGAGCAGCAGGCCTCAAGGGGCCGAGTGAGAATGCTATGAACTGTGGTATCCTTCCCCTAGACAAATCCCAGCTTGCTTCTCTTTCTGTTCTAGGAACTGAACAAAGAGAACCGCATGGCAGTACACCAGTGACCGCCTAGGCCAGTGTGTGGCACGATCCCGCAGCCACAGAGTCAGTGGGGGAGGATAAGGGGACGGCATTGGTGTTAGGTAGGCAATGGGCGTAGCAGACGAGGCCCTGGGCAACGTCCAGACTCTGCGTGCCTTCGCCATGGAGCAACGGGAAGAGGAGTGAGTCCTGGGAGGGCCGAGCACAAAGCAGACCCTCTGTGCATGCTCAATGCTTGTCAGCAATCCAGGCACTCTGGGGACAAGGCAGGCAAAGTGATTTTGCTCTTGCCAGGAAAGGCTCTTGTCTGAGTGCTTGGGAAGGCTTTCCAGGGAAGATTCGGTTTCAGAGCAGTGGAGAAGCAGCCTGTACTGACCTTGGACACCGCCTCTACACTTTCCTTCCGTGAACTTCCATGGTCCCTCACCCACGGCCTCACCAGGCAGTGGGCTTCTCGAGTCAGGGTGCGCCTGTCAGCCCAACATCAGGGCTGGGGCAGGCAGGGCTGGCGTGGCGAGTCCACGTGGGAAAGTGTGTGTGTGGATGTGGAGGGGCCACTGGGCCACTGACCTGGGAGATGACGAGCTTGAAGGATGACTTAAACTCCTGCACGTCAGTCGTCAAGCGGCTCACCAGCTGCCCTGTCTTATTGGCGTCAAAGAAGGCGATGTCTTGTCTGGCATGGGACATGGACCAACAAGCAGGGAAGAAGAGGGACACATTACTTCAGGATGAGGCCCCACCCCCAGGCCCCCTCGGACCATCAGTCACCCCAACTCTGCACCCTGCGGCTGGCAATACCGGAGCAGGGAGCTGAAGAGGGCCCTCCGCATGTCCACAGCCATGCGCTCGCCAATGTGGGACAGCAGCACCAGGTACCCGAAGGTCAGCAGTCCCTGCGAAAGAGCCCAGTGCACTCAGGGATGCCTTGGGTGGCTCCTCGGCGGCCCCCAGCCCCACTCCCAGCTGTACCTGGACACCATAGAGGATAAGCAGGTGGGTGCTGAGTTTCCGGGACTCAGTCATGAAACTCCCCACGTGGTCCCTCGTGTACTTGGCCACAATCTCTACCAGCTGGCCCAGGAGCAGGGGGATCTGTACATTCACTAGTGCCGCACCCAAGGCCAGCTGGAATGGGGAGGCAGAGGGTACAAATGTTTTGAGTAGGGGTGCCACACTCCTCCCCAGCCCCAGCCAGATCTTGGCCCTTCCTCTCCCACTACTGAGCCCTGCTCTTGTCCAGGTCGTGGCTGGTCATTTGGACCTACATCAGTGCCTCTCAGAGGTTCAAACCCTGGCTTCCAGCCCCCACAGACCTCTGCGCACCCAGCCACCCAGTGTTGATGCCCCTGGCACCCCTGGCACCCTGGCTAGCCCTCACTGCTCCTGTGAGCTCTCCCCTGAGAGGCAGCGAGGCAGGAATGCCATCCCTTTGTAGCTCTGGGTCCTGTCCTGTCCCCAGGATGGAGAAGTGGGGAAAGCCTCACCACGATGGCTACCCCCAGGGCCAGCAGGTGGGGGCGCAGAAACTGCCAGAAGAGCTTCCAGTTAAAGCGAGACCCCACGACACGGGGTGTGGAGCTGGCAGGAGGGGCCTCTTCTGCCTCACAGAGGGCCACAAAGTAGAGGCGGGGACACTTACTCAGTACCACGGGGCCTAGCAGGGCTCCCCCAACCCAGCACCAGGCAGAGGGGCTCTGTCTGGGAGCTAGAGGGGTGCGAGGGAGGTGGGCCCAGAGCTGGGACCGCAGGTGGGCCACGGCCCGGAGGAGGGTGGAGCTGCGGTGGCCATCAGAGTACCTGTAAGGAGAAAGAGGCATGGATGGCTCAAGGCTCCAACTGCCCTCCAACTGACCAGCATACCCACGGGGCTCTGGCCGAGCCCTCTGGAAGCAGCACTTTCTCTTCCTTCAGGCCCTCACCCCTGCCCTTCCCAGGGCTCTTCTGAAGCAACTTCAGTTTCTAAGACAGACGTCCATGGGCAAAGTCACAGAGGAATGAGACGCTGAGCAAAAAATCGAGTCTTTTGTCTTATTCCCCTGGGCGCCTCTCAGGCCACAGCCAGCCAGCCAGGGTCCTCGCAGCCCCGACTCCAGGCTCTGACAGAATGACAGACTGAAGAACTGGATGGCACATTAGATGGCCACACACTGCCTGGACAGGAAGGGGCCGGGGGTTTAAGGGACTATGGTGCAGAGGTGAGGAAAGAGAGCTGCTCCTGTGCCCGGCACGGGACTTGCTCACAGCAGCCACCAGGGCAGACATGGCTCCACCTCCCGGAGCTAATGGGCCACTTCCCTTGATCCTCACCAACCTGGGAGGGAGGTGCCATTATTCTCACTTGACAGATGAAAAAAATCATGTGGAGCTAAGAGAGCTGAAATAATTTGTCCCCAGGCTGCAGAACCAGGACGAGCAGGGAACCGAGTCTGCAGTCTGACTCCAGCACCCAGATTGTCTCTACTCTGCCAGTGTGCCGTGTCTTCCGATGTCCCAGGCCCGTTACCCCACCTCCCCTCCCCGGCCTGGGGCACCATGGACACACTCCTTCTCCACAGCTGAAGGAGCAAACAGAGAAAAATAAAAATTCTAATAACTTATCTTGTCATCTTTTTTTTTTTTTGAGACAGAGTCTTGCTCTGTGGCCCAGGCTGGAGTGCAGTGGCCAGATCTCAGCTCACTGCAAGCTCCGCCTCCCGGGTTCATGCCATTCTCCGGCCTCAGCCTCCCGAGTAGCTGGGACTACAGGCGCCCGCCACCTCGCCCAGCTAGTTTTTTGTATTTTTTAATAGAGACGGGGTTTCACCGTGTTAGCCAGGATGGTCTCGATCTCCTGACCTCATGATCCACCCGTCTCAGCCTCCCAAAGTGCTAGGATTACAGGCTTGAGCCACCGCGCCCGGCCTATCTTGTCATCTTGAATAGGCCAATTACCTTCTCTTTCCTTCAGCTGCCGCATCTATAAAATGCTAACATTGATTCCACTATTCTAGACATTTTTTAAAAAATTTATTTTTTTTTTTGAGAAAGAGTCTCGCTGTGTCACCCCGGCTGGAGTGAAGTGGCATAATCTCAGCTCACTGCAACCTCTGCCTCCCGGGTACAAGAGATTCTTCTGCCTCAGCCTCCTGAGCAGCTGGTACTACAGGCACGTGCCACCACACCCAGCTAATTTTTGTATTTTTAGTAGAGACGGGGTTTTGCTATATTGGCAAGGCTGGTCTTGAACTCCTGACCTTGTGATCCACCCACCTCAGCCTCCCAAAGTGCTGGGATTACAGGCATGAGTCACTGCACCTGGCCTATTCTAGACATTTTGAACCTACTGTGTGCAGGTGCTCTGCTTGGGTGATGGAGAGGATGGAGATGAACATGACAGCTGAAGTAACTCCCCTCACAGTAGTCATGCTTGAGTGCAGGAGACTCACAGTTAACTGGCAATCAGAGGCACAAAACAGCTTGAAGTCCTGCTCCTCCTTCTCCTCAGAGGGAGTCAGGAAAGGCCTTCTAGGTGAGGCCTGAGGGGGAACAGGAGGCCAGGCACAGGTGGGGGTGCGCTATAAAGGGGAGAGCTCTAGGCACAGGGAAAGTAAGTGTGAGTGTCTGCAGTGAGAAACGATGGGAGAGAAGTTTCAGGAACTGTATGGCTGAAGCCTGGCCTACAAGAAGAGAGAAGAGACATGAGACTTGGGGGGAGGGGCAGTTTTCTAGTTCTTATAAAGCTCCTGGACTTGGGGGGCAATAAAGGTCGTGGTGATTCTTAGGCTGAGGTGTAACAAGATCAGGTTTGCATTTTAAAGATCACAGCATGGCCAGGTGCAGTGTCTCATGCCTGTAATCCCAACACTTTGATAGGCTGAGGCGGGTGGATCATTTGAGGCCAGGAGTTCAAGATCAACATTCTGAAACCGTGTCTCTACTAAAAATTAGCCGGGTGTGGTGGTGTGTGCCTGTGGTCCCAGCTACTTGGGAGGCTGAGGCAGAGAATCACTTGAACCTGGGAGGAGGAGGTTGCAGTGAGCCAAGATCGTGCTACCGTATGCCAGCCTGGGCAACGGAGACTCTGTCTTGGAAAAAAAAAAAGGATCATAGCAGAGGGGTGTGGGCTGGAGGCAGATAGGACTGGTTGTAGGAAGCAGAAGTTATCCCGCCAGGAGAAGAGGGTGAGATCTAGAAGATCTAGATGAGGTTACTGATGGGGAAAGGCTTTAAAAAAGTAACAGTGTGAGCTTTTCTCTTTACCATCACGGCCTTTCACATCCCTAGACCCTTCTAATTGCAGTCTTCACCTCATCCTTCCCTTACTATGCCTTTTGCCTACATGAGGCCTTCTCCCACCCCATTCCAATGTGCCAGGTTTTTATGTCCTGTTTTCCACTGTGTTCTTGTTTCTAGCATAAAGATAGAGATGCTTACTCTCCTTCTGCCTTGTGTAACTGTCCAGTTTTCCCATTACACCATGTGTTTCTGAAAGGCAGGAAATTATATCTTAGATAGCACTGGCAGAACTCTGGTACATAATAGATGTTCTGCAAATGTTTATGTTTGTTGAGCACATGCATGCCCTCATTAGAGGCGCAGGACAATCTGACCTAACTACTACAGGGTTTTGCAAATGTTTACACTTACTGTGGCCTACAGCAAGAAACATATCTTACATTGCAGCCCAGTGCAATGAACACATACATACCACACAAAATGGAAACGCTTCACAAAATAATATTTTCTCTAATTCTTAACATGCCCCTTGCCTCCCCTCCCTTCCCCCTCCCCTCCTCTCCCTTCCCCTCTCTTCCCCTCCCTTCCGGTGCCACCCTTTCCTTCCCTTCCCTTCCTTTCCTTTCCTTTATCTAAGACAGGGTCTCACTCTGTTGCCCAGGCTGGAGAGTAGTGGCGCTATCTTGGCTGACTGCAACCTCCACCTCCCAGATTCAAGCGATTCTCCTGCCTTAGCCTCCCAAGTAGCTGGGACTACAGGCGCCTACAACCATGCCTGGTTAATTTTTGTATTTTTAGAACAGACAGGACTTCACCATGTTGGCTAGGCTGGTCTCGAACTCCTGACCTCAAGTGATCTGCCTGTCCCAGCTCCTCAAAGTGCTGGGATTACAGGTGTGAGCCACCACACCTGGCTAATTTTTGTATTTTTAATAGAGATGGGGCTTCATTATGTTGGCCAGGCTGGTCTTGAACTCCTGACCTCCAGTGATCTGCCTGCCTTGGCCCCCAAAGTGCTGGGATTACAGGTGTGAACCACTGTGCCTGGCCTACATTTACATTTGTTTGTTTATTTATTTATTTATTTATTTGAGACGGAGTCTTGCTCTGTCATGCTGGAGTGCAATGGCGCAATCTCGGCTCACTGCAACCTCTGCGTCTTGGGTTTGAGCAATTCTCTTGCCTCAGCCTCCCGAATAGCTGGGACTACAGGCGCGTGCAACCACACCTGGCAAATTTTCATATTTTTAATAGAGACGGGGTTTCACCACGTTGGCCAGGCTGGTCTTGAACTCCTGACCTCAGGTGATCCGCCTGCCTTGGCCTCCCAAAGTGCTGGGATTATAGGCGCGAGCCTATAATTTACTTTTAAATGGTACTGACCAACTGAATTCATTTCATAATCTATTGAAAAATACTGACTAATGAACACATATATACTTGAATATTATTTGATGTCTTTCCTTGGGTTTTTCTCTGGTTTAAATAATATCAACACCCTTCCTCTTTCCTAAGGACTGTTTTTAAACCTTTCAATAATTTAGCATGGTCTTTTTCCAGCTTCTTGCATTGTCTCCAAACTAACACTCTAAGAAAGGCTTGGTCATTGCCAAGAGCATATGGATTACTTCCCAGCACCAAGACTTCCAGCTCCAGCTCGATCCAGCTCTTGTCCTCCATCAGTCAGATGGGCTTTCCAAATGACACAACTCCATATCCACCTGCCCTTGGGAATCTTCTATGTTTGGCCCCCAAGTAATTCGTTGTAGGATTAGAAAGGACAGCCAGGTGAGGTGGCTCACGCCTGTAATCCCAGCACTTTGGGAGGCCGAGGCAGGCAGATCACCTGAGGTCAGGAGTTCAAGACCAGCCTGGCCACCAACATGACGAAACTCCGTCTCTACTAAAAATACAAAAATTAGCCGGGTGTGGTGCACGTCTGTAATTCCAGCTACTTGGGTGGCTGAGGCATGAGAATTGCTCAAACCCAGGAGGTAGAGGTTGCAGTTAGCTGAGATCACGCCACTGCAGTCCAGCCTGGGTGACAGAGCGAGACTCTCTCAAAACAAAACAAAAAAAAGGAATCAGTCCCTTCTCATAAAGCATTTACATTCCAGTTGTAGTTTCAGGGTCCTTGTTTGTTTCCTACCTGTCTATCTGTCTGTCTCTCTCTCGACCAACCTGTGTAGAGCGTTTCTCCAAAAACACACACGTACAAGTTATTAGACTGACTCTTTTTTTTTTTTTTTGAGACAGAGTCTCACTATCTATCACCCAGGGTGGAGTGCAGTGGTCGTGACCTCGACTCACTGAAACCTCCGCCTCCCAGGTTGAAGCGATTCTCCTGCCTCAGCCTTCCAAGTAGCTGGAATTACAGGCGCGTGCCACTAATCACGGCAAATTTTTGTATTTTTTGGTAGAGACGGGGTTTTGCCATGTTGGCCAGGCTGATCTCAAACTCCTGGCCTCCCAAAGTGCTGGGATTACAGGCGTAAGCCACCGTGCCCGGCCTATTAGATTGGCTCTTTATCCCTGCTGAACATCTCTAGCTCTTCTTCGACTCACTTTGAATCCTGGGAGCACCACTACGTTAAATGTCTCTTGATACTAATAAGAATTTTCCTCCAAATCGCCCAATCAACTCGGGGTCCAGGAAAGCCGACCCCTGGTCGAGAGTGCGGACTGGGCGTGGTCACAGACCCGGAGCGTTCCCTCCTTCTGGCTGACACGCCGATGCAGACGCCGGAACCTCCTGCTGGCGCCTGGAGTGTCACTATAAATAACTGAGACCAATACCCGCGGAGTGACATTCCACCCCGGCAGGCCTGGCCTACAGCTCCCAGCAAGCCTCGCGCGAGTCCGCGGACTCCATCTCCCGGCGGGCCCGGCACTGCCCTGCCGGCCGGTCAATGGCCCGCGCTGAGTAGGTTTTTCCCTTTTTACCTGACAGCTGAGAATGTCTGGAAGCGGAGGGGCACTAGCGGCCTGCCTGGGAATGGGCCACCCCGAATCCCGGCCCGAAATAAATGCACCAGCATGCTGGGGCGCGAAAACAGGAGCAGCCAGCAATAGCACTTTCACCCTTATCCCATTGCGGGCTCCATGTTGGCTGCCGCCCCCATCCCGACAAGCCCCTCGCGCCTTGGCGGTGATTGGTGAAAAGACACATCAATCTCGTTTCAAGCTGTGACTGGAGGGTACGTTGTCAACCCCCTCTTTTCGGAACTGTGATTGGAGAGATTCGCCTACCCGCCCGACCCCCTGCTCTGGGCGGAGCCGAGTAGGAAGTGGGCCTGCCTTTTGCTCGGTGCGCCAGTGGGCTCCGAGTGACGTCTAAAGGGTGTGCGCCGTCCAGCCCTCCACGCTATGGAGTATCCATGGTAACGCGTCAGCCGCCGACCTCGGGCCATTTTCCCAAGGCTCGAGGATCTCTAGATGTCCCGTCATCTTGAGGGCGTGTAGAACGGGCTTTGGGGGAGGAATGAACAGAAATCGACTGGGAGTTTTTTCAAAACACGTACATATACCCTGCCACCCACCCCGCTCTCCTAGGCGCGTCAGAACTGCTGGGACATCTGTCACGTCCCCGGTGATTCTGACACTCTTGTCCTACGCCTCAGCTATTGAGAACTACTGGTATGGAGGTCTTGTAACTTATCAAGGCGTGGCCTCAGATCTCTCTGCCTCGCAGATGCCTTCCTCACCCGGGTCAGAATGACTTGCCTCAGGCTCTTGCCAGAGTTTGCACCACTCATTTCTTCTCTGTAATTATTTGTTTGCGTATCTGTCTCCCCACTGGGCTGCCGCTTCTTGTTGGGTACTGGCTCTGTTTTATTTATCTGTCCTCTTCCCTTCCAAATGCTTGGCCAGGAAAAGTGCCCTTTATAATAAATAGACTTGAATTGGGGGTGGTGGTAGGGGGCTGTCAATGAGAATGAATTCAGGGTGAAACTAGGTAGGACAGTCTCCCACGATTAGTTTGGGGTTGAGCTGGGGAGCTGCAGGTGTATAGGGAGGGGTCCTATTGTGACTATGGTGGAATAGCCATTATACTGAGTGACACTGGGTGAGTGAGGTGGGGGAGAGACTAGACAACACCCCACATAACCCACCTTGACAGATGTCTCAGAAAGATTATGGGAATTTCCTGGCCCCTCTGCAATATGGGATTCCATTTTGCTACCTCTAGAAGGACAGGGTCTTGTTTTCATAGCCCTGCCTTGTGCTCAGGTATAAAGGCATGCGAGACCTGAGCTACTACTACAATACCCCACACAGAAGGAGAAAAGCAGGCACATCTGGACTCAAGTTTTGTGGGTGAGTCCATGATTGCCTCCAGTGAACAATCTGAGAAGCACGGTGTCCGTCTCTCCATTTCAGGGGTACTGGTCCCAACATCAGCCCTTGGGCCTAAGCCCTAGAGATCTTGACACCTGGTGGCTGAGTCAGCATCTCAGTAATGGGCTTTAGAAGGAAACCTGATGATTCAGGGCCTCAAGAATGGCGTTGGGCAAGCCACCAGACCAGCTGCCTGGGTCTCCTCCTCCTTGTTAAGGTGACAACAAGGAACTCAGTTCAGCTCCTCCCTGGTACCCAAATTATCCTTCCAAGTCCCAGACTCAACAGCTGTCCTCCCTTCTGATTCAGCCCTGATGCTTTTTAGGGGGTCACAGAAGTTGGATCCAGACTTGAGATAATGTCACAGTTCAAAATTAAAAGGATGGAAACGGAATGGAACTTTCAGAGAACCCCAATTTTCTACTCTAAGCTCTCCAAACCAACTCTCAAATCCAAGACAGCTGCCTTTCCTTTCTTCACCTCCTTTTCTTAGTTTTCCCCAACTTGACTGCAAAGTCAGGCTCCCCTCTTCCCTTCCTTAGCCCCTCAGACCAATAAAACATGCAGTCTTTTCTTATTCTTTTTGTTTTTTTTTTTTAGAGTGCAGTGGCCGGATCTCAGCTCACTGCAAGCTCTGCCTCCCGGGTTTATGCCATTCTCCTGCCTCAGCCTCCCGAGTAGCTGGGACTACAGGCGCCCGCCACCTCGCCCGGCTAATTTTTTGTATTTTTTTAGTACAAACGGGGTTTCACCGTGTTAGCCAGGATGGTCTCGATCTCCTGACCTCGTGATTCGCCCGTCTCGGCCTCCCAAAGTGCTGGAATTACAGGCTTGAGCCACAGCGCCCGGCCTTCTTATTCTTTAAAAAAAAAAAAAAAAAAATTATTTTTGACCAGGCACAGTGGCTTATGCCTGTAATACCAGCACTTTGGGAGGCCAAGGTGGGTGGATCACGAGGTCAGGAGTTCAAGACCAGCCTGGCCAAAATGGTGAAACCCCATCTCTACTAAAAATACAAAAAATCTGCTGTGCGTGGTGGCGCACACCTGTAGTCCCAGCTACTCAGGAGGCTGAGGCAGAAGAATCACTTGAACCTGGGAGGCGGAGGTTGCAGTGAGCCAAGATTGTGCCACTGTACTCCAGCCTGGGTGACAGAGTGAGACTCTGTCTCAAAAAGAAAAAAATTATTTTGTTTTTTAGTTTTTGCACAGATGGTGGCTCCCTAAGTTGCTCAGGCTGGTCTCAAACTCCTGGCCTCAAGTGATCCTCTCGCCTGGGCCTCCCAAAGTGCTAGGATTACAGGTGTAAGCCAACATGCCTGGCCCCTTTACTTCTTCTTTTGTATTTTAGTCACAAAACATTTCCCTGCTGATCACTGTAGTGTGTGTGTGGAGGGAAGTGGGGGAGGTACACTCTTAAGAAACAAAATAGTTAACATCTTGGCCCTAAGATTTGTTGTAGAGATGGAGTCTTCTCATTCTGTTCCCCAGGCTGGTCTCGAACTCCTGGCCTCAAGCAATCCTCTTTCCTCGGCTTCCCAAAGTGCTGAGATTGATTACAAGTGTGAGGCACTGCGCCCAGCTACAATCTTTTAATAGGATATTTTGGGGGGGGGGAGTGGGAGGGCAGGCTCTTTCCCAGGTGGGAGTGCAGTGGCTAGATTTAGCTCACTGTAACTCATACTGTTCCAGTGTAACCTGCACCAAGCCATCCTCCCACCTCAGTCTCCTGAGTAGCTGGGAACACAAGCACATACCACCACACCTGGCTCCAACACGACTTTGCTTTTTGCTTTTGTCATTTTGGCTGCTGCTGTTTTTATCTTTCATTCATTCAAGATCGGAAGATGGAGATAATAGGAATCTTCTCATCTCAATGTGCTCTTTAGCCCCTCACTCTTAAACTGATGCCCCTCTCAGGTCCCGAGGGATTTGGCCTCAGGTTGCCCTGGAAGGGGTGTGAGTGATGAGACAGGTGACTGAGAGCTGGGACGCCTGAGGCCTGCCTAGGCTGAGTCACCTAGTATTGTTGTTGTCATTGTTCCTGTTGAAGTCCCAGCTCAGCGTCACAGACCTTTGTGGAAGCAGCAACAGCTCCCATCCTTCCAACCTTTCTGGAGAAGCTGTGGCCTGATGGTGAGCCAAATAGGCTGGGGGGGGAGAAGAGGGCGGCTGGGGCGGTGGGGAGACCTGGGGCCTGGATCAGTGCCCCTGCTCCCCATGCCACTGCCACCTCCTCCTCCTCCTCCTTCATGCCGGGGACCTGGGGGAGGGAGGATCTCCATCTTCTCTCTGTCCCCTGCCCCTCATACAAGAAGCTCCCCCTCCTCATTTTCCCCTCCCACCCCAAGGCCCCCTTGCTCAGTGCTACAGGGGACAGGGGCTCAGCCTTGCCACAGTGCTCTCCCCACCCCAGCCACCCCCCCAACACAGGCTCAACCTGCAATGACACCTGCCTCTGCATCTCCCTCCTGGGGATCCCACTCTACCCCACCCCTGGCCTCGGCAACTCCCCCTCCCTCACACCAGTGCCCCCAGGACTCTCCTGGGCTGCGGGTAGGCCCTTTGATCCCTGAACAGGATTATGAGCGGCTGGAGGACTGTGACCCTGAGGGGTCCCAAGACTCACCCATCCACGGGGAGGAGCAGCAACCCCTGCTTCATGTCCCTGAAGGGCTCTGCGGTATGTGTGTGGGTGTGGGTGGGGGTGGGAGCAGGTTAGTGGTGCCTGGGAGCTCCAGTACTTACCGCAGGCTGGGCCTCTGGCAGTGGGTTGAGAACATGGAGAATTGATCACATACCAGGGGCCGACACTCTCCCCTCTGTGCCCAGGCTCCTGGCATCACATCCAGAACCTGGACAGCTTCTTCACCAAGATATCCTTTGTGCTAGGCCTGCAGAGGTGGCATGGGAAGGTCCCCTTGGAGCTGGCACTGTTCTTGGCAGGGAGACTCCATGAGGGTGTCGTGGGTGGGAGATGTGTTGGGGCTGAGGGGAGGCGTCCTCAGGAGAGGCCCCCCCATGCCCCAGGCTTGTTCCTTGACATGCGTCCACATCTACAGCTACCACCAGCGGAATGGCTTTGCCTGCATCCTGCTGGAGGATGTCTTCCAGTTGGGGTAAGACGCTTAGCCCGGGCCCGGAACTTGGTCCCCTGGGCCCATGGGTTCCTCCTGTCATTTTGCTTCCTTAATTGTACCAGTTGCTTCCATCCCACACTTTCCCAAGCAGCCCAGGGGCTCAGCAGGGGCAGGGTGGGGGAGGATAACCATGGGCTGCTCTGGGGGCCAGGGCAGGAGCCCACCTGGCTGTCCCTGATCACTGCAGCATCCTGGCATCCCCCTTCCTCCTGGCAGACAATTCATTTTCATTGTTACCTTCACAACCTTCCTCCTTCGATGTGTGGATTACAATGTTCTCTTTGCCAACCCACCAAGTAACTGTACGAGACCTGGGCCGTTCCACAGCAAAGTGACCTTGTCAGATGCCATCCTACCCTCAGCCCAGTGTGCTGAGAGGTGAGTGAAAACCTGGTGGGACCCTGGGGTGAAACATGAGAAGTGGGTAGAGGAGTAGACAGGAGCCCCACTTTGTCCCGTGATCTAGATCAGCAGTTCTCAAAGCTTTTGGTCTTAGGACCAAAAATACACTTAATACACTTTAAGTTGTACTTAAGTGTATTAAGTTGTACTTAAGTTGTATTAAGTTGTACTTAAAGTGTAGTATGTGTATCTTTTTTTTTTTTTTTAGACAGAGTTTCACTCTTGTTGCTCAGGCTGGAGTGCAATGGTGAGGTCCAGGCTCACTGCAACCTCCATCTCCTGGGTTCAAGCGATTCTCCTGCCTCAGCCTCCCCAGTAGCTGGGATAACAGGTGTGCACCACCACGTGTATTTTCTAAAGTAGAGACAGGATTTCACCATGTTGGCCAGGCTGGTCCGGAACTCCTGGCTTCAGGTGATCCACCCACTTTGGCCTCCCGAAGTGCTGGGATTACAGGCGTGAGCCACTGTGCCTGGCCTGCTAAGTGTATCTTAATTAAAGTGTATTAAGTGTATCTTAATACAGTTAAAATTGGTTGAGAACCCTAAAGAGCTTTTGTTTATGGGAGTCGTATCTATCTACAATTTACCTTATAAAAAATTAAAATTAGGCCAGGCACAGTGGTTTACACCTGTAATCCCAGCACTTTGGGAGGCTGAGGCAGGAGGATTGCTTGAAGCCAGGAGTTTGAGACCAGCCTGAGCAACAAAGTGAGACACCAGCTCTATAAAAAATAAAAATTAGCTGGGCTTGGTGGTGCGTACCTGCAGTCTGAGCTAAGCCTAGTCAGGAGGCTAAGACAGTGACTGTCTGATCACTGCAGCGTCCTTACACCCTCCTCCTCCCAGCAGACGATTCATTTTCATTGTTGCCTTCCCAACCTTCCTCCTTGAATGCATGGATTGCAATGTTCGCTTTGCCGACCAACCAAATAACTATACCAGACCTGGGCCGTTATTTGGCAGGGAGATAGGAGCTATGATTCTACTGCTGCACTACAGCCTGGGTAACAGAGAGAGACCTTGTTTCAATAAAAAGGAGAAAAAGAAGGAAATCATTGCTGAGAACAACTTTAAAATGTAAGAGTGCGGCCAGGCACGGTGGCTCATGCCTGTAATCCCAGCACTTTGGGAGGCCGAGGCGGGCAGATCACAAGGTCAGGAGATAGAGACCATCCTGGCCAACATGGTAAAACCCTGTCTCTACTAAAATATACAAAGATTAGCCAGGCGTGGTGGCGGTCATCTGTAGTCCCAGCTACCCTGGAGGCTGAGACAGGAGAATCACTTGAATCCGGGAGGCGGAGGTTGCAGTGAGCTGAGATTGTGCCACTGCACTCCAGCCTGGGCGACAGAGCAAGACTCCATCTCAAAAAAAAAAAAAAAGTGCACGAGCACACATTTCATCAGTTGTCAGTGTGATGTGACATGTTCACATGTCTTGTAGCCTCTGGAAAACTCCACTGCACACTCAGAGAACAAGAATGAAAACATCAGAAAGCATTAGTATTATTTGGAAGAAGTTTGACACACTTGTGAGGGCCACTTCAGCTCCCCGCCCCAGCCCCAGGCCCTACTTTGAGAGCTGCTGGTCTAGCTGGATCCCCCTCCTCGTGACAGTTTTTCCTCGCTCCCGAAGTCTGGTCTGCCTGTTTCCCACCTTTCTCCCTCACTGCCCACCCAACCCCATACAGGATCCGCTCCAGCCCGCTGCTCGTCCTCCTCCTGGTCCTGGCTGTGGGCTTCTGGCTGGTCCAACTGCTTCGCTCAGTCTGCAACCTCTTCAGCTACTGGGACATCCAGGTGTTTTACAGGGAGGCCCTGCACATCCCCCCGGTGAGCTGGGTGGCTGTGTCTGTGCGGAGGGTGCCATGAGAGGGTGGACAGAGGAGAGGGGAAGAAGTGGGACTGTACAGATAGAAGGGCCAACTGGAAAGAGGGCAGAAAGAATGACGCCTTATTGACACCTGCTCTAAGCCCAGAATAATGTCAGGAGGGGGCTACCACCACTTAGAGAGCATGGCCCTTACCCTAAGGGAGTTTAGTTTATTTAGATGGCTCATATAAGATGACATATAGTTACATGTTTGTGCTAAAAACATTGCTTAGAGAAGGGACGGTCATCTGACTTTTCAGAGCTGGAGACATTTGGGTTGGGCTTGGAAGGGCAGGACAGGAGGGGAGGGGAGCACATTCCAAGCCCCAGTGCAGGAAGGTGGGGAAAAGCCATGAGCTTTTGGAGGCTGCAGCAGGGAGATGGACCCCACCAGCCTAAAACAGAGCCATCAAAGCCATCCCCCCACCATTGCAGGAAAACACTGCATTGGCCTGTCACTGTCCTCTGCTTATGATCTGCCCTTTGTTTCCTCGCTATCTTGAGTCTGCTCCTCCCTCCTCTGTATCTAAGTTCTTTCTTTGAGGCACAGCTCGAAGGTAGCCTTCTGCAGCTTGCTTCCCTTGCTCCCCTGGGAGGTCCGGAGCCCTCTGCACAGCCTTTATATGTGCAGCAAGGGGAGAGGTCTTAGAAGGCCCCTGAGCTGGGGGGAGGGAGGAGGCCAGGGAAGTAGAGGTGGTGAGAGCGGAAGCTGGACCTCAGATCGGCTCTGGCAGGAGACTGCTCACCCGTCTCGTTCTCCTCTTCCCTTCTTTCCCCTCCTCCCCTGTTCCTTCCAGGGGAAGGGAAGGGAAGACACTGGGATGGACTGGAGAGGCCAGCCTGGGGGACTTGACTAACCTGGACTGGGAAAGCTGAGTGAAACTGGGCTGAAGTGAGGTTTGCAGCCTCCAAATGAGATCGGACAGTGCCCCACTGCCAGACATGGACATAGCCCAGGTCCTGGGAAGGCTTCTGGTGACAGAGCTGAAAATGGCGCGGAGTTGGGTGGGACTGGGAGTATAAAGCATGCCCAGGCAAAAGGTGGGGAGGATTCTGTTCCAGAGTTGGTGGGTGCACTGGAAACGGGAAGGAGAGGTTCTCCCATGAACTGCTGGACTTTCTGGTTTTTTGTTTTTTTGTTTTGTTTCTTTTGAGACAGGGTCTGGGTCTGTCACCCAGGCTGGAGTGCAGTGCTGCGATATCAGCTCACTGCAGCCTCCGATCCCCAGTAGCTGGGACCACAGGTGCACACCACCACACCCTGCTTTTTTTTGTATTTTTAGTAGAGACAGTGTCTCACCACGTTGCCCAGGCTGGTCTCGAGCTCCTAAGCTCAGGCGATCTGCCTGCCTCAACTTCCTAAAGTGCTGGGATTACAGGTGTGAGCCACCGCCCCCGGCCAGCCATTCTGTTTTGTGTGTACAACTGAGGGGGCCTTAGGCCCTTTAAGGAGCTGAGAAGCTAGGTCCAACACCTGGAGGCGTCGCCAGGGACGACATGACTGCTGGCCACATGAATGGCAGGGATGATGAGGAACAGGGCAGTTTAGAAGAGGATGAAGGAAGTAGGGTGTGCCCTTTTTAGTGACAGGGTTAAGGGAGGGCAGAAGGGGAAAGGTGGGAGAGGGGGACGATGAGGCATGTAGCTTGGCCCTGGCGAGTTTGTGGTCGCAAACTCAGTTTGCGGGTTTTCAGGCCACACACTTAGGGGTGTGGAGCTTGAGCATCACTGTGTAGAGGAATGGGGGTCGCTGGCTCTCATCAGTGCCTGTTTCAGGAGGAGCTGAGCTCGGTTCCCTGGGCAGAGGTGCAGTCCCGCCTCTTGGCGCTGCAGCAGAGCGGGGGCCTGTGCGTGCAGCCGCGGCCCCTGACGGAGCTGGACGTCCACCACCGCATCCTGCGCTACACCAACTACCAGGTGGCGCTGGCCAACAAGGGCCTGCTGCCGGCCCGCTGCCCGCTACCCTGGGGAGGCAGTGCCGCTTTCCTCAGCCGCGGCCTGGCGCTCAATGTCGACCTGCTGCTCTTCCGCGGTCCCTTCTCGCTCTTCCGCGGGGGCTGGGAGCTGCCGCACGCCTACAAGCGCAGCGACCAGCGGGGCGCCCTGGCAGCGCGCTGGGGGCGCACAGTGCTGCTGCTGGCCGCCCTGAACCTGGCGTTGAGCCCACTGGTGCTGGCCTGGCAGGTGCTGCACGCCTTCTATAGCCACGTGGAGCTGCTGCGGCGCGAGCCCGGCGCGCTTGGGGCGCGCGGCTGGTCCCGCCTGGCGCGCTTGCAGCTGCGCCACTTCAACGAGCTGCCGCACGAGCTGCTCGCGCGCCTGGCGCGCGCCTACCGCCCCGCCACCGCCTTCTTGCGCACCGCTGCGCCCCCCGCGCCCCTGCGCGCGCTGCTGGCCCGCCAGATCGTTTTCTTCGCGGGCGCACTCTTCGCCGCGCTGCTTGTGCTCACCGTCTACGACGAGGACGTGCTGGCAGTGGAGCACGTGCTCACCGCCATGACCGCGCTCGGGGTCACCGCCACCGTGGCCAGGTGCGACGGCAGATGCCCGGGGAGGTGGTGTGTGTGGGTTTCTCTGATTTGGGGCCATGGGAGGTTCCCCCGCTTACCTCTCCCAACATTGGGGCCCTCCAGCCCTGCATCCCACTGCGCGTCCTCCTAACCGCAAGCCCCTTCCCCGCACGGATCCCGCCTTTCAGGTCTTTCATTCCCGAAGAGCAGTGCCAGGGTCGTGCGCCGCAGCTTCTGCAGACCGCCCTGGCCCACATGCACTACCTCCCGGAGGAGCCTGGCCCCGGTGGCAGGGACCGCGCGTACCGGCAGATGGCGCAGCTGCTGCAGTACCGAGCGGTGAGGGTGGGCGCGACGGCTGAGGAGGAAGTTGTGGGGTCTGTCTGCGCAGAGGGCATTGGACAAACGGGCTACCCCAGGAGTCTAGGGAGTGACTGAGTGGGGAGGCTTCTTGCCCTGGCGAGGGTCGCTGAGGGCTGCTTGGTCCTGATAACGTGCGTGGGCCCCTCAGCGACCCCTGCTCAGCCTCACCGCTGCTTCCCCAGGTCTCCCTCTTGGAGGAGCTCCTGTCCCCGCTCCTCACCCCGCTGTTTCTGCTTTTCTGGTTCCGCCCTCGTGCCCTGGAGATTATCGACTTTTTTCATCACTTCACTGTGGATGTGGCTGGGGTTGGGGACATCTGTTCCTTTGCCCTTATGGATGTGAAGCGCCACGGCCACCCTCAGGTCAGAGCTGTCCCCTGGCCCTGGGGGGTTGGGCTGGGTGGGCGTTTGCTTGCCTCTCGGAGCAGACCTGGGTTCCAGCCCTGGCGCCATTGCTTGCTACCTGTACCGTTGAGCAAGTCACTTCCCTTCCCTGTGCCCTCGTGCCCTCATCTGTCAGATGGCGACAATGGCAATGTGTCCTCCAGAGCACAGCCAAGGCCAGGCTTGTGATGACACAGATAATGTCTGTATAGCCCATAATGGAGTTGCTGGCACATAGTAACGTCAGTAAATGAGAGCAAAGACCATTCGGGGACAAGGAATGGGCTTGGCCCATGGGTGGGGCTGAGTAAGGACTGGTGCCTGGACCAAGGCTGTCAGGATCACCCTGGGCAAAGCACTGAGGCTCAGCCCTATCCCCGAGCTGGGTCTAGACCCAGGTTCTGCTCCGCTGTTTTATTGTTGGATGAGGGTGAACAAGTCCCCATTGTGGTCTGTTTCCTTCACATGGAAGATGGGGCAGTGTTTCCTGTCCCACCTGGCCCCATAAGGCTCAGCGTTCTTAGCACCTGAAAGACTATCCTTGCTCACAGTGGCTCTCGGCGGGACAGACTGAGGCCTCGCTGTCTCAGCGTGCGGAGGATGGCAAGACTGAGCTTTCTTTGATGCGGTTCTCCCTGGCGCATCCGCTCTGGCGCCCCCCAGGGCACAGCTCTAAGTTTCTTGGGCACCTCTGGGGCCGAGTACAACAAGATGCAGCTGCCTGGGGCGCCACCTCGGCTCGCAGCCCCCCCACCCCGGGGGTGCTCAGCAATTGCACCTCGCCCCTGGTGAGTGAAAGCCTGGCCTCCCCTTCTGCCCTCACCTCCACAACTCCTCTCCAAACCCTTCCCCTCTAGCCTAACCTTAGGTATAACCTGCCTCACCGGCCCCGCCCCCAGCCTGCTCTCCTGCCTTCTTCAGGCCTCCCCTTCCTCCCCACTCCCTTTCTGTCCTCTCTTCTGACTCCCTCTTTGGCTTTCCCTCTCCTCTCACACCTAGCCTGAGGCCTTCCTGGCCAACCTCTTCGTGCACCCTCTCCTGCCTCCGAGGGATCTGAGCCCGACAGCCCCCTGTCCAGCTGCAGCCACAGCCAGCCTCCTCGCCTCCATTTCCCGAATTGCCCAGGACCCCAGGTAAGGAGTGGAGACTGAGTTGCAGCGGTGTGGGGGCTGGGCTGATCCTCTAGGAGCAGGGAGCTGGGGCACTGTTGCGGGGATTCAGAAGGGGAGCCCTCTGGGGTGTGGCGGAAGGAGGTAATGTCTTTTGACCTGCTTCATGCTGTGTTCCAGCTCTGTGTCCCCAGGAGGCACTGGGGGCCAGAAGCTGGCCCAGCTCCCAGAACTTGCTTCTGCCGAGATGAGTCTCCATGCCATCTACCTGCACCAGGTGAGTAGAGCAGTGCCTGGAGAAATGTGGGGAGAAGGCTGGTGAACAACATGGAGACTGAGGTGGGGTAGAGTCTACGGAAGGGTCTAGCAGAGTCGCAGGAGGAGGCTGAAAAGCCCTCTGCTTCTAGTCCAGGCGCTTGGCCCTGCCCTTCTTGGGGGCGGCCCTCATTCCTTCTCCTTTCCATGCAGCTTCACCAGCAGCAGCAGCAGGAGCCGTGGGGCGAGGCTGCAGCCTCCGTCCTGTCCAGGCCCTACTCCAGCCCCTCACAGCCACCCTCGCCTGATGACGAGAAGCCATCCTGGTCAAGTGATGGTGAGGAGGGTGGGGCCTGCAGGGGATAGAGCCTGATGGACACTGGGCATCAAGGAATGCCCAGTTGATGGCCTTTGTCACCAGGCTCCAGTCCTGCCTCCAGCCCCAGACAACAGTGGGGAACCCAGAGGGCCCGGAATCTGTTCCCTGGAGGGTTTCAGGCGACAACAGACACCCAGAAGGAGCCTGATGAGGCCTCTTGCACTGACTGAGACGACTCCTCAGGGTCAGTATTGCCCTGTGAGGGGAGGGAAAAACAACTGCATAGGTAGTTGGTTCGGAGTCAGACTTGAAGCAGTGGGAGCGATGGTGGGAATTTGGGGTGATGTGGGGTGGTCATCTCTGGAACCTAGACCCCTGCACTGCTTGCCAAGAGCCATCTCCTCCCACAGGTACCCTGGCTTCCGCAGCCACAGGAGATTGGAGGGTGGAGTGGAAGAACACAAGGAGCCATTGCTAGAGGCCCCATAGATGACAGGCCCAGGTGCTTTAGTTGGGCAGCACCTGGGAGTCAGTGAGGAACTCGCCCTGAGAACAGAGAAAAGGTAGGAGAGGAGATGCTGATGGCATCTGGAAACAAGTCTTAGAGATGGTCCCCACCCGGAAGGGATAAGGGGAGACACCCCCAACTGCAGTGTGTCCTGGAGCAGTTGCCTGGGAAGAAGTCCTCGAGTTTCCTCAAGGTAGGGGACAGAGGTCAAGAATGAGGCCAAGCTACATGGAAGGGTGACAGTGAGGCAGGGGCGCTTTAAGGCTGTGGATTCGTCACACTGGCGGCTGCCAGCGCACTTTCAGTTCCCTGGGGCTTGCAGGGGATGGGGACTTGTGAGTGGAAAGACGAGAGGGCTGATGTTTTTGGACTTCAGCACGGGTGTGATGTCTGAGGAAGTGGGTGTGGCTTCCCATCCTGTATGAAATAAGCAGTAAAGCTTGCTCACGGCTGTTGCACATCTCTGGGACTCTTGTTTCTGGCAGCCCCCGCTCCTGGCAGCTGAGTGCTGCACCTGCCTTCTCGATCACCAGCCTGAGAACTGCACGGGGGAGCAGCCCAGACTGGCTGGAAACCATGTTTTTAGAGAGCAGGGTCAAGTGGCATGTAGGACTCCCTGTCAAAAGAACGACCCCTTTCCCCGCCACATACCCACAACTGCACAGGTTAAAACAGAAATCTTGTCATTTGATAATTGTAATCCACGCCGGGCACAGTGGTTCATGCCTGTAATCCCAGCACTTTGGGAGGCTGAGTCAGGTGGATCACGAGGTTAGGAGTTCAAGACAAGCCTGGCCAAGATGGTGAAACCCTGTCTCTACTAAAAATACAAAAACTAGCCAGGTGCGGCGGCAGGAACCTGTAATCCCAACTACTCGGGAGGCTGAGGCAGGAGAATCACTTGAACTCGGGGGCAGAGGTTGCAGTGAGCTGAGATCATGTCACGGCACTCCAGCCTGGGTGGCAGAGTGAGACTCCCTTTAAAAAAAAAAAATAGTAATCCACATGGGCTGGGTTAGGCACTTTAGTAGTTCTCGTAACATCTGGCACAGTCTCTTACAGTAAATCTTCAATAATAAATACTTGATTTAGAGATTAGAATTTACAGGTAAGATACTCCTGAGAGAGGTAAGGGGAATCTAACATTCGCCTAAGAAACAGGAAGCGGGTAGCAGTAGGCCCTGGGGTACCGCTGCTGGGAGGGGCCTTCCAGATTTAGGCGGACCCAGGCCAGAGGCAACAGGCATACAGAGGGAAAGAGGCATTTTACTCCTTCCTGGTGGAATAATGCTGAATCCTTGCAGCCTCTGGACAGATGTGGGAAGGCACCATCTCAAGAGGGGAGAGCGGGGCTGGTCCTGGTCGGGCGGACCTGAGTGGGGCAGCCGCTCTCCCGGAACTGGAAGGGAAAGCCAGGGGGCTCTCAGGGGCCGTTGGTGTTGGTGTCCGAGCTGGGCAGGTCGAACGCCCAGGGCACTGCGCCCCGTAGCTGCCGCTCCTGCAAGGAAAAGCTCTGGGTGCGTATGCGGCTTGTCACCTCCTGGGTGCGCAGCGTGAGCCCGAAAATGTCTTCGTGGTAGCGTTGCTGATCCTGGCGTAAAAGAGCGCAGTGGATCAGAACCCGTCGGATACCTTGGTAGGAACCCCGCACGCCCGGGGCCTGGTCCCCGCCTCAGGCCTGCTCCGCTCCCAGCCCGCCCCTCCGCACCCGCAGCACGCCGATGACGTCGCCGGCCTCGTCCAGCTCCATGTCGCCCTCCGTTGCCAGGATGCGCTGCACGGTCTGCAGGACGTTGGTTGCCATGGTGACATCTCCGCAGACAAACATGTGGCCCCGCTCGAGGCACAGCACGCGGTGCACCTCCGCAGCCAGCTCCGTCCTCAGGATGTCCTGCACGTAGGTCTGCGGGAAGGCGGGGTTAGGGCGGGCCCTGGTGGGGGTGGGCGCGGGGGCGCAGCCCGGGGCTGCTGGCTGGCCCTGGGCGTGAAAGTCTACAGAGCGGGCCAGGTGGGGCCTGCATGCCCTGGGGCGGTGTCAAGAAGGGCAGAGCCAAAGGGGCGGGGCGGGGGGAGGCGGGCCTAGAGGGGCCGGTACACGAGGGTGGGCCAGAGTGTGCAGGGGTGGCTGAGTGGTCGTGGGAGGCCACGGAGGGCCATGGTTGGTGCTTTCCGCTGGATAGCGTGAGTCCTCCCCTCTCTCCCTATCTTCAGGTTACCATTGCGCGCTCAGGGTCTCACACCTTGGGGTTGTCAGGTTCCCGGGAGAAGGCGGTGAGGACTCGGCCAAACACCCCGCGCTGCTGGGCGTTCTGCACCTCGTCGCGGTAGAGATGGTCGAGTTGGGAGCATCGGCAGCCAAACACCAAAGTCATGGGAGTGGGCTGCAACCCTGCAAGCAACCCCGCGCTCGGGAAGGCCCTTCTCCGAGGCACAGTGCTAGTGGGACCTCCCCACTAGCCACCCTCGCCCAGCCTGTCAGCCCAGCGTTTTGGGCTGAAGCTATTACTTTCATCTCCAAGAGAGTGCAGAATGCTTTCACAGAGACCCTGCACAGCCCTGATTTACAGAAGGAAGGGAAGCCCCGGTGAGGTGGTGGCCCCTGGTGGAGCTGCGCTAGAATGTGCGGCTTGGGACTCAGAATTCCATGCCCTTTGCACTGTGTTACATCGGAGTCCCCTTCCCTGCTCCCACTTCATATTCTCCCACACTTTTAACTCTCCTCCCAGTCACAGCCCTCTTCTTTTGATTGACAGACTACCCTGGGCACCCTGTGCTCAATCTGAACACCTTGTAGCATCCTTAGGTCTTGGACAGACCTTGGTCAGCTCTGGCAGTCAAGAATCTACCTTGGGCAGTTCTTCTTTGAGTCTTAGCCCTAATCCCTTCGAAAATTCTATTTTCCTTTGTCCTTAATCCAGTCAACACCTACTATGTGCCAGGCACCAGGAAGCCAGACACACAGGGCCCAGCCCTTGCCTTCGGTACCTGCCCTCCCCTTGGTCTCAGGAGCGTCTTTTCAGCTTTGTGGCCTCTGTTTCCTGCTCTCTCTTTCCTATCTATTTCCTGCCTTCCAGCCCCACCGCTCTGTCCCTAGATTGTGTGACTCCTTCCAGTCAGTCCTTTAGTCGCCAGCCTCACCTTTGCTCTCAATGTCATGCAGCCGCTCCTGCCAGAATCCCCGGAAGGGGGCAATGCCAGTGCCTGGGCCCACCAGGATGCAGGGCAAGCTGGGATCAGGTGGCAGCCGGAAGGAGGGAGCCCTGGCAGGAGAGACACTCCATCAGGTCCCCTTTGCCATCCCTGCTCCCCCATTCTTACCATGCAGGGTGGGTGGAGCGAGGAGGAACCAGGCTCTCCTGATAAATAAGTTGATATTCATGAAGTCCTTAAAGCAGTGTCTGGCTCATAGGAAGCATGATGGGTTTATTAAAAGAACTCTGGGCTGGGCACAGTGGCTCATGTCTGTAATCCCAGCACTTTGGGAGGCCGAGGTGGGAGGATTGCTTGAGCCCAGGAGTTCAAGAGCAGCCTGTGCAACATAAAGAGACTTCCCATCTCAAAAACAAAAAAAAAAACAAAAAAACTTCACCTTCTTTGAGTTCTTGGTGACACTAAGGCCAAGGGTGGTCTTAACCCTAACTAGTAGTTCTCCCTGGATTGAGTGAGGATTTAGTGACTGTAGTTCCCAGGTGCCATGCTGCCCAACATCAGACAGCCCAGGGACATAGAGAGGAATACAGAAGCTTTCAGAAAGCCACAGGGCCAGCCGGTTTGATCCAAGCTCTGGCTCTGGGAGCTGTAGTTTCAGGGCAGGACTCTGAGTCTGAATGAATGAGAGAGTCAAAGCTTAACCAGAGTTCTGAAGTGACCTAATGACACCACATCCTTGACATGTTACAGAGCTCCTTCCTGTTTCCTGTGACACCCCTCACCAGTGACACTCCTTACTCCTCACCAAAGCTGCCACCCTGACCCTGGGCAGCTCCCCCCCGAGTCCTCCATCTCACTTACCCCCGGATGAAGCAGGGCACAGGGTCTCCGGGCTTGAGTTGGCTTAGCCACGTGGAGCAGACTCCATAGTGCAGGGGGCCCAGCCCATCTGGGGGTGGGAAGGAGAGGCCAGTGAAGGACCAGAGAGGGGCCAGTCCCACCCCCGCTGTGGCCAGGCCTGCTCCTGCTCGTTGCCTCACCCTGGGTCCTGTATGCCAGCACAGCTACAGTGAGGTGGATCTCTCCTGGGTGGGTGCTGGGTGCTGAGCTGACTGAGTAGTACCGGGGTTGGAGCAGAGGCAGCTGGGTGAGAAGCAGTGGGGCAGGCAGTGCCACCGAAGGGAACTGCTCCAGCACCTCCAGCAGCGTTGGGCAGCGGAACCACTTCCACTCCTCGTAGCGTCGGGGATCCTGGCAGGGCAGGATGCAGTGGGTTGGGGGCCCCATAGCCCTTCCTAGTGACCTCCCTTCTTGTCCCCTCCCCTGCTGAGCCTTTTTAGGGTTTCTCCCTCCTTAGTTCAGGCCAATAGAGCTTTCTGTAAGACCTGGAGAATACAGCCATGAATTCCTCCCTGGGGAGCTGGGTCTTAAAGCACCAGTGCATGTCAGCCAGAAGAAAGTCCCGGGGGGACCTTGCATGGAGGTTTCCTGCCCCTGGGGCTCCCCCAGTTCATCCCGTCTCTCTAGCCCCTGTGCCTTATTGGGGTGGCCCCCAACCTGACTGAGGGCCTCCAGCTCCTGCTGTTCCCTGGGCTCTTCTGCCAAGGTGCTGAGCAGCCGCAAGAGCTGAGGGCTGGGCGGGGAGGTGATGTCCAGGAAGAAGGTGAGAGCCTGGCGCAGCGTGCATGGGGGCAGCCGGGGGTCCCGCACCCAGCCGGGGGGAGGGCCACCTGGGGATGGTGCACAGCGACCGCTGAGGACAGGGCCCAGCAGAACTGTAGTACCTGGGCTGATGTGTTTGGGTGACTGTTAGAGAGCCTGCCCTTGAGCAGCGGGGTGGGCCTGTCTGGGTAGCCTCAGTGTGTTGTGTGGGGGCCTCTGGCTGGACTGGATTGGTCTGGGCTCCTCTGCCTCTGACTCCACCCCCTTATTTTAAATAAAGCCCAGGCATTGATGTGGCAGCAAATAGCCCCATTGCCAGCTCCAGAGCAAGCTAGATTGCCAGGGGAGCTTTGGAGAGGAGCCCCGAGGGAAGGGACAGCCTTTTGGTGGGGGTGCATTTGAGGGTGTGGGGATGGTCCAGCAACAAGGCCAGCCCGGCAGTGAGCAGCACAGCCAGCTCTGAGCCCGCCTGCTGAGCTGTGGAGGAGGTGGCCATCCCCCGGGGCCTGAGCTCCTGGAGGCCTGGGGTTGGGGGTGGGGCTGGGCATGGGGCTGGTGTGCCCTGTTGCATCCCAGGCTGCCCCTCACCAGGGCTGCCCTTCTCCAGTTGCTCTACTGCCACGGGCTCAGTGGGCGCAGGCGGGTCCTCCACGCGGCTCAGCAGCGCCTCCACAAGGCCGGGCCGGTTGGGTGGGCAGACACCTATGTGGTCCCCCGGCTGGTACTGCAGCCCCTCTTGGCCTCCAGTGTCCAGGCGCACCAGGATGGTGGCCCTCCTGGGGGTGGGGAGAGGGGCACTTATGGGGAGTCAGAGAGGGGTCGGGGTGGGAGAATGTGGGAGGAGGAGGGTCCAGGGTCGGGGTGTGCAGGACAGGGGTTGGGGGGCGGTAAAGCCGTCGTCCTCACGTGGACTTGCTGCTTTGCAGGTTTTCCACTGAGAGAATTGTAGCCTGGAACATCTTCCGCCTGTGCACGTGGATCAGACCTGGTGGTGGGGAGGGGCAAATGAGGCAGCCTGAACCAGGGAGCAGGGCCTGGCCCCTGAGTGCTTTAGTCCCGGGGTATGGGGTCCTCTGAGAACCAGCCGGGTGAGGATGAGGCCAGGGCCCACCTGGCAGCAACTGCAGGCCCTCGGCCTGGGCGCTCAGCCGGTACCTCTGGCGCTTCCAACTCCTTTTGGGGCTGAAGATGTCTCGGGCAGCAGCCTTGGCATCCTCTCCCACACAGAAGGTCTCACAGGCGGCCTGCGGGATAGGCCAGTGAGGGCTGAGGACCTCCCGCCACCAGGGGGCGACGTAGTGAGGAGCCTGGGCGGCTTCACTGCGTCTTGCTCCTGGGGGGTTGGCAGCCCCAGTGGCTGAGGCCGGCGCCAACGACAGCACCTTTTCCGCCAGCCCATTTCATGGATTCGCCGCTGGGCCCAGGGACCCAGCTGGCGCCTCCTCTGCACGTCCTGAATGGTTCATCGTTCCTTATCTGGTGAGTGTTAATCCCGTGACCCGAGAAGCACAGTGCTTGGCACACAGTAGCTCTGTGAAGGCATCTGTGTGTTCAGACCTGCATTCAAATTCCGACTCCCGTACTTAGAGTGACATGCCTCAGTTTCCCCATCTTTACACCTTATTGTGTTCTGGTGAAGATTAGATGAGATACTTTAAGGAACGCCCTTAGCGTTCCATAAAGTGCGTGCAGATAGTAAGTGCTCCTGGGAAGGGACGCACAATTCGGGCGGCAGAGGGGATCCCACGGGGCAGACCCCTAGGGGGGTGTGGATCCTGTCAGGCACACAGCTGGAAAACTGCTGGGCCATTCCCAGGCTTGAAATCCAGGGCTCACCTGTGATTGGCTGAGCCTCATATCACCAAGTCCCGTTAATCTTTCTTTTGTGGTGCGTGTGAAGTCTTATATCTCTGCCTTCCTTCCTCGGCCCCCTCCCTCCCTCCCTTCCTTCCTATCTCCACTGTCGATGCTCTGCTTAGCTCAGCCTTCCTGCTTCTGGTTCAGTGATGCTGTAATGGATCCTACACCTCTAAAGTCCTATTCCCAAAACCTTATGATGTGGTCTCGTCCCGCTCCAATGGCTCTTTTTGTTTAAATTCTTTAAGTCTTATTTTCCGTTCCCTTCTTCCCAATCGGGGCCTATGTGTTTCTGCAGCCTGACCTCCCCATCCCTGAGGTAGCCCTTCCTCTCCCCCTCCTTCTAGGATGCCCTCCTCCTCCAGTCAAGGCAAATCTGCTGAGCTCCAGCCTGGGCCCTGGGGGAGCAGCACTGCCCTGAACAGTGTGGCACTGGGGAGACCGAGCCCCTGTCAACTGCAGACATGATCCCCAGACAGGCAGTGCTGCCCCTGAGGAAGGCCAGGCTTAAAAAGCCACGGCTCCCAGGGACCCACCTCTCCTTGAGCTTGCTTGCCTGGCCCCAGACCAGTTCTGTGGTGCAGGCACCGCCCCAGGCTGTCTGGCCTCTGACTTCCTGTGGCTTCTGTGCTGGCCTCAGCTTCAGCCTTTGCCTCTGTCTGACCTTCTCTCCGTCCCTTCCTTCTCCCTCCATCCTGCCCATCCTGGGTGGGGTGGCCTGCCCTGCACCCCCTCCCTTTGTGCACCCACTCATGAGGCCCAGCCTGTGCCTAGCTGAAGCTCCCTCCTGCCAGGGCCCTGCCTGCTCGCTTTCGGCTGCACTTCTGCCTGGGCTAGGCACCCCCTGTGGTCGACAGGGCCACATCGTCCTCTGCCTCTGACCCAGAAAAGCTGGCTATGCCATGGAGAGATGAGGGTGGATTTTGGGAGGAACAGGAAGGGACCAAAGAACCAGACAGAATCAGGACAGAGTGAGGCTGGAGGAGGCATCCCAGGTAGGAGGAGTCAGAACAGGGGCTGGGCTGGGCTCACCTGGAAGGCAGCCTGGGCCCAGCCGCGGAAGGCCTCCTCCTGGCCACACAGCTCGTCGCCCTGGCCCAGCTGCAGCAGCCGCTCCCCGCCCAGTTCCTCCAGCCGCGTGTCCACCGCACGAGCAAAGGCGCAGAAGTGGGGGTAGGCCCGGGAGCCCAGCCCGAACACACAGAACCTGGGGTGCAGGGGTTGTCACTGGAGCTCCTTTTGCAGCCCACGTTTGCCCAGGCAGCTTGCCCACCCATTGCACCCCTCTTGGTGAGGCCCCGACCTGAGTGTGCCCAGGGCCCCTGCACTGTCTGTGTTACTGGACTCCTTCCTCTTCCGCCGCCAAGAGGACACCAGTGGGTCTGAGCAGGAGATGCTGTTGAAGCGGATCTTATAACTCCTGGCAAGAGAGGACAAAGACGAGGTTGTCACAGGGCCCTGGAGATACATCCCAGGCCCAGGTGCAGCCCCAGGGACAGTCTCAGGGTCTCCGCCTCTGGGACAGGAAAGGCCCTGCCCTTGGGAGGGGCTGAGGGCCAGCATCCCAGGGGCTTCTGAGCCTGGGGCCCTGCCACACCACACCCCCATCTCTGAAGACCTCAGGACTGTCTCGGCTCTCAGAAGCAGGCAGGTCTGGACTGCCATTCCAGCCTGGAAGGGAGGGCATCCTAGAACCCTGGCTTTTGGTAGGAAAACGAGTCGAGGCACAGAGGGAGGGCTTTTCAGACCCGCTTTCTGTTTGTGTCTCCAAATGCCTCAGCTCCCCCAGCCCCCTCAAACTCTCAGCCAACTCACTTGTGCTGTTCCGGCCGAGGGGAGCTGTTGTAGGGACCGGACATCTCCATCAGGGCAGCTGCAAAGCTCTGGCGAGGGGAGCGTTTGCATCAGGGTTAGTTTTGTTTCATTTCAAACAACACAGAAGTTTAAAACTGTACCAGCTGACCCTCATTATTATTGATTCGTAACTTTTAATTTTTGTTTGTTTTGAAAATTTCAAAAGCGATCTGATGTTTTTGAAAAATGACATTACAGAAATGTGAAAAGTAATAAAAACCACCCCATCTTCCCTCCAGGCATATGCACCATTGACAGATGTTAACCTTCCAGCCCTTTTTCCTTGAACTTATGTGCATATTTATAGTATTTTTTAAAAATAAAAGTGGTACCATACTATACTTCCTTGTTTTTAATCAATAATTTTTTTTTTTTTTTAGATGGAGTCTCGCTTTGTTACCCAGGCTGGAGTACAGTGGCGCGATCTCACTGCAACCTCTGCCTCCTGGGTTCACATCATTCTCCTGCCTCAGCTTCCCGAGTAGCTGGGACTACAGGCGCCCACCACCGCACTCGGCTAATTTTTTTGTATTTTTAGTAGAGACTGGTTTCACTGTGTTAGCCAGGATGGTCTCGATCTCCTGACCTTGTGATCCGCCTGCCTCGACCTTCCAAAGTGCTGGGATTACAGGTGTGAGCCACCGTGCCCGGCCTTTAATCAATAATTTATTGCAGGCATCCCTCCAGGCCAATACAACAATATTGACCTAATTAAGTAGTATTGTTTTTAGATATGGGTCTTGCTGTGTTGCCCAGGTTGAGAGGCAGTGGCTCGATCATATTTCACTGTAACCTCGAATTCTTGGGCTTAAAGGATTTTTCTGCCTTCCTAGTAGCTAGATCTATAGGTTTGTGACACCACTCCTGGTTAATTGTTAAATTTTCTGAAGAGATGGAGTCTCACTGTGTTGTTCAGTCTGGTCTTGAACTCCTGGGCTCAAGCAATCCTCCTGCCTGGACTTCCCAAAACATGACCTCATTCTTTTTAGTGGCTACATTGTACTTCACTGAGACTGAAGGGCAGCTGGGTGGTCTGGGAACAATGCGCCCTCAAACGCCCTTGTACCTGTGCCTCGCTCCCACTTTTAAATGCTTCAGGGCCGGGCGCGGTGGCTCAAGCCTGTAATCCCAGCACTTTGGGAGGCCGAGACGGGCGGATCACAAGGTCAGCAGATTGAGACCATCCTGGTTAACACGGTGAAACCCCGTCTCTACTAAAAAATACAAAAAACTAGCCGGGCGAGGTGGCAGGCGCCTGTAGTCCCAGCTACTCGGGAGGCTGAGGCAGGAGAATGGCGTAAACCCGGGAGGCGGAGCTTGCAGTGAGCTGAGATCTGGCCACTGCACTCCAGCCAGCCCAAGTGTCACCAACAGGAGAACGGATAAACAAAAAAAAAATGCTTCAGCTGGGTAATCCTTAGAAGTGGAGTTGCTGAATCCCCACTTGTTGGGGCAGGCAGATATCCTGCAGCTGCAGGGGAGGGCACGGCTCTTTCCTCAGTCCCAGGTAGCAATGGCTAGGGCAAATCTTTCCTGTTTTAGTGGATTTCATGGGTGGACAAACTCTCAGTTCCTTTGGCAGTGTCCTGGTCACTAGCAGACATTGTGCAGGTTGCCCTCCTCAGAAGACCATGGCCCTGTTTGTGATGCCATGACGAAGCGGCGTGAAGCGGACCTCCCAGGGGAAGGAAGCTGGAAGGAACGGCATCTGGTGCTCAACTGCAGATGCCTCTGGGTGCTGGTTCCCAGGTTCGCCAAAGTTAGCAAGCGTGATTTGAATTTCATTTTTGAATGTTTTGTCAACGTGCAACACAAGTCCAGAGGTGCACACATGTTGTAAATGTACAGCTCTATAGGTTGTCATAAACTGAACACACCTGTGAAACCGGCATCCCATCGAGAAACATTACCCATGGCTGGGTGCAGTGACTCACGCCTGTAATCCCAGCACTTTGGGAGGCTGAGGCGGGTGGATCACCTGAGGTCAGGGATTCAAGACTAGCCTGGCCAACATGGTGAAACCCCGTCTCTACTAAAAATACAAAAATTAGCTGGCCATGGTGGCAGGCACCTGTAATCCCAACTACTCGGGAGGCTGAGGCAGGAGAATCACTCGAACTGGGGAGGCAGAATTGCAGTGAGCCGAGATCACGCCATTGCACTCCAGCCTGGGCAACAGAATGAGACTCCATCTCAAAAAAAAAAAAAAAAGAAAAAGAGAAGAAAAAAAAGAAACATTACCCGCATCCTAGAAGCCACCTTTGTGCCTCCTTCCTGTCACTGCCACCCCCACCCCAGTGACTATCTCCTCTCCCAATTTCTCACTCCATGGATTAGTTCTGCCTGTTTCTGAACTTTATATAAAGTGAATCCTGTAGTACAGTGTGTATTCTTTGGTCTGGCTTTTTTTTTCTCTTCACATTTTTTTGAGATTCACCTGCATTGTTGTGTGTGGTTGTCTTTTGTTCACACTTAGTGTGATATGGCACTTGAATATACCAGAATTTATCCGTTTTTGTCGATGGTCATTTGAATTGTTTCCAGTGTGGGGTAGTACAAACAAATTTGCTATAAATATTCCTGTTCATATTTTAGTGAATATACCCCATTTTCTGTGAGCTGTATTCCTAGATTTGTTAAAAGTTTGACATAAAATTACATACATTGAACTGCACAGATCTTAAAGGGCAGTTTAATTTGCTTTGCTGTTTGACAGTTTTATTTAATTTAATTGATTAATTAATTAATTTATTTTTTGAGACGGAGTCTCGCTCTGTCGCCCAGGCTGGAGTGCAGTGGCCAGATCTCAGCTCACTGCAAGCTCCGCCTCCCGGGTTCACGCCATTCTCCTGCCTCAGCCTCCCGAGTAGCTGGGACTACAGGCGCCTGCCACCTCGCCCGGCTGGTTTTTTGTATTTTTTTAGTAGAGACGGGGTTTCACCGTGTTAGCCAGGATGGTCTCGATCTCCTGACCTCGTGATCTGCCCGTCTCGGCCTCCCAAAGTGCTGGGATTACAGGCTTGAGCCACCGCGCCCGGCCGACAGATTTGTTTTATTTATTTGTATTTTATTTTGAGTAGAATTCTTGCTCTGTCACCCACCCACGCTGGAGTGCAGTGGCGTGATCTCAGCTCACTGCAACCTCTACCTCCCAGGTTCAAGCAATTCTCCTGCCTCAGCCTCCTGAGTAGCTGGGATTACAGGTGTGCACCACCACGCCCAGCTAATTTTTGTATTTTTAGTAGAGATAGGGTTTTGCCATGTTGGCCAGGCTGGTCTTGAGCTTCTGACCTCAAGTGATCTGCCCACCTGGGCCTCCCAAAGTGCTGGGATTACAGGTGTGAGCCACCGCTCCTGGCCTGGCAGTTTTATTTTTTAAAAAAGAGATTCAACATGCATCTACCCTATGACCTACCAATTCTACTCCTAGGTATTTATCCAAGAGAAATAAAAACATAAGCCTACAAAAGCCGGGTACAAGAATGTTCATAACAGCTTTATTCATAATAGTCCCGACCTGGAAACAGCCCAAGTGTCACCAACAGGAGAACGGATAAACAAACTGGGGATATTCACACAATGAACGGCACTCGGCAGCAGAATGAGTGAAATACTGAGTCATGCAACAACACGGGTGGGCCTCAAAAACAGACTCAGTAGGAGATGCCATAACACTGCGTGCTTCCATCTCGGTGCTGTTCTAGAGCAGGTGAAACTAATCTGTGGTGACAGACACTTCTGACAGAGAGACAGACTGGAAAGGGATTCACGTGAGGAACTGATGAGGGAACTTTCCAGGGTGATGAAAATGCGCTATGCCTTGTGAAGGCTGTAGCTTATATGGGTGTCTATATACCTTTATGCTAAAAAAAAGCCAATTGCTGGTGCTATTTTTCTTTAAAAGGTAGGTCAGAATGGGGGCTGAAATGGACACTAAGGCAGCAAAAAGGCTTTCACCAGATTCAAGCTTGCTTACGATACTGAGGGCCTGGTGCAGTGGCTCACGTCTGTAATCCCAGTACTTTGGGAGGCCGAGGCAGGTGGATTGCTTGAACCCAGGAGTTAGAGACCAGCCTGGGCAACATGGCGAAACCCCATCTCTACAAAAAATACAAAAATTAGCTAGGCATCATGGCATGTGGCGGTGGTCCCAGCTACTTGGGAGGCTGAAGTGGCAGGATTGCTTGAGTCTGGGAGGTTGAGGCTGCAGTGAGCCATGATCGTACTACTGCACTCCAGCCTGGGCCACAAAGTGAGACCCTGTCTCAAAGGAAAAAAAAAAGAGTACTGAGGAGGTACTTAGTGCTAATAAGGGCTTTAACACCTAGAAGCTGGAGCAGGTAAGACCCAGAAATGAACCTAGCCTGGGGCAGCTCAGAGACACCTACGCTTGCAAGAGAAGGCGTTCAATGATGGCACTCTAGCTTTGTGTTTCTTTTTAAAAAGTGAAGTTATTTAATCTATGTTGGCATCGAAACAGCTCTCTATTTCTTCTTTTAAAAAAGGAACCTGTGGCAGGAGGATCTCTTGAGGCTAGGAGTTCAAGGCCAGCCTGGGCAACATAAATAGATTCTCAAAATAAATAAAACAAAGAAAAGAAAAGAAAATGCTGGAATAGTGTTGTACGTGTTGTAAATGTACAGCTCTATGGATTTTTACAAACTGAACACACCTGTGTAACCGGCATTCCATTAAGAAACATTACCCACATCCTAGAAGCCGCCCTCAGTGACATATCCCTATTTTTCTTGTTAGTGCCTGAGCACAGTCTAACCTCTTGGTCAGCCAGGACATGCCTTCCTTGTATTAAAAACTTGCACTGATAATGGAAATGACTTGGGGACGCAGTTCAGCAGATGTACTTGTAGGCGGGCAGCCATGTGGATGGGCTAGGAGTGTGGCTTGTGTGGGGTTTCAGGCTCCAGGGGTCTCTTAGCATCATCTCCCTTTCCATCCTGGTGTGTGTGTGTGCATGTATGTGTGTGTGTGTTGGGCAGAGGTTCCTGCCCAGTCACTCCAATTCTGAGTCTCTCCTCATTCCCAGCAGCCCCTTTCCTGGAAGCTCTCACCTCTCCATTCTCCGGGGGATCCCCATTCCCGAATGTGCTGGTTACCACCAGCACCAGCGTCTCGTGTTCAAGGGACACCACGTCATACTCATCCATACACAGGACCTGTGGGTGGGAAGACAGATATCCTGGGTTCTGTGACCCCCGGAGGCCCTGTCCTCCTCGCTCTGGCCTCCCTGGCAGTGCAAGATTCAGGCCCCAATTTGATCTCTAAAGACCTGTGGTTCCGGGTGTCAAGTCACACCTGTGAGTCCTGACTTTTAACACTTCCTGTCCTCCAGGGCACCCCTGAAGATACTGATAGAGCCCCCTCTTTCTAGCTCCCTGCTCCCCTGGGCTCAGCCCTACCCGGGGATCAAAAGCCTTCCGGAAAAGTCTCCCCAGCTGCTGTGCGTAGCTCTGGGCCCGGCCGGTCTCGGAGCCATACAGGATTGTCGCCTTCACTCGCTTCGCCATCACGGTGCCCATGAGCGAGGCAGAGATCTTCACGGCACTGCGGGAGAGGGAGGCATGAGGGTGTCCCAGGTGCACAGAGGCAGGGCCTCCCCAGGCAAGGGTCCACTCCCCTCACAACAGGGTTTTGGGGTACTGAGTGGTGGGCCCAGAACACTGCTGGGGGCAGGGTCCCCCAGGGTGCATGGGGGAGGGCAGTGCTCCTGGGTACCCACTTGGCCACTTCTTTAAAGGTCTTCTTCCTGGTGATGCCGGTGCCCTTGGCCGCACTCCCCTTCCAGGGGTCTGGCTGCAGAGAGGTGATGGGGTTGGGAGGGGAGGTAAAGAAAAGGAAAGGTTAGAGGTCCCCAGGGGCTGCATAGAATTAGAGCTGGGCCCAGGCTGGCAGAGCCAGTTAGGGTGGGCACCTGGTAGCGGAAGGCTGGGGACAGGAAATAGTTGACCATCTCCTGATGGAAGACAGGAGTGAGGCTGCCCGAGATGGGGGGCACAATCCAGGCCCAGTCTGCAGGGCAGCCCCCCCTGGCCTTCTGCTCATTCTCCAGGTGCTTCATGAAGGAGGCTGTGGCGGCGTGGTGGTCCACAATGGTGACTTTGGCCAGCTGGAAGGGAGAGAGCGGGGAGAGGCTCAGACCAGACCCACAGACCTCGCCCATTCTCCTTCCACCACTCCTGTCACCCAAAACCACATGTGCCTAGGTTACCCCGTATCTAACACACCCTGTGTCCCCTCAAACCACAATGTCACCCTCACCCCAAACTGCATCATGCATGGTCATGCTCCAAGTTCAACATGAAACAACAGCTCTAATCTCCAGCATCTATATGCCTGGCCCCCAAACCAAAGAGCCCACAGAAATTCTCTGCAGGCCCCGGTTTCCTCAAACTATGACTCCTGGTGTGCCCTCCATCCTAGTATTCGTTTCCAGGATCCAGTGGGTCCCCACAAACTAAAATACCCAATATGCCCTGAGAATCAATATGACTGGGCATGCTGTAAACAGCAAGGTCCCTAGCACACAGTAAGCCGCCAGATGACAGTACCTGGAATACTACCTGCCCTGTCCCCGAACCGCAGGCCAGTGTGTGCCATGGCACTGGGACTATGGAACTTCTTCTGCCTGTCCAAATCCTTCCCCAGTTTCTAAATGGCTCCCTCTCCTCCAACCCCCGCCCCTGCTGCCCCTGTACGCAAACCCTTTGCCTTCCTGGCCAGTCTGGGCCTATGCACCTGGTAACTGTGCAGCACGGCCACGTTGATTTCCACCGCTGCCTTGTCTTTCCATAGGGATGAAGTTGTCCGGGTATCCAGGTCCATGCAGACAGCCACGTCCTGGGGCAGGAGGGTGTGTGGCGTTGGTAGGGACAGAGATGATAGGGGTGGGGTGGGGAGACTATCTGTTTCCCACGCATGGCTGGGAGGAGTGAGGTGAGTGGTGTCCGTTGGGAGGCCTGGCTGTCGAGTGGACTGGTTCAGGTTTTTGCCTGCAAAGGCACCTCAGAGCAGAGAGGGATCTTGGGCCAGTCACTCCTCAGCCCCGGGCTTTAATTTCTCATCTATAAAATGGGTCTTAACCTTTTCCGAGTCAAGGTCCCCTTTGAGAATCTGATGAAAGCTCTAGAGCTATGGGTCCTATACCTGGAAGAACAACTACATGTTCACACCTACGCCCATGCCCCCCTCACCCACCTACTCACACTCACACCCACCCACAAACCCACACACTGACACCCGCCCACCCCCACAAACCCACAATTTCACACTCACTCCCTACACACACCCACACTCACACCCACACCTACACACCCACACTCTCACACTCACTCCCTACACACCCCCACAAACTGATACTCACCTACCCCTACAAACCCACACACACTCACCCCTACACACCCCCACAAACCCACACTCACCTACCCCTACAAACCCACATATTCACACTCACCCCCATACAACCCCACAAACCCACACTCACCTACCCCTGCAAACCCACATATTCACACTCACCCCCATACAACCCCACAAACCCACACTCACCTACCCCTACAAACCCACATATTCACACTCACCCCCATACAACCCCACAAACCCACACTCACCTACCCCTGCAAACCCACACATTCACACTCACCTACCCCAACAAACCCATGCACTCAAGCACCCTACACACACCCACAAACCCACACTCACCTACCCCTACAAATCCACACATTCACACTCACCCCCATACAACCCCAGAAACCCACACACTCTCACCCCCTACGCACCCCCACAAACCCACACTCACCTACCCCTACAAATCCACACATTCACACTCACCCCCATACAACCCCAGAAACCCACACTCACCTACCCCTGCAAACCCACTGTCACCCCCTACGCACCCCCACAAACCCACATTCACCTACCCCTACAAACCCACATACTCTCACCCCCTACACACACCCACAAACCCACACCCACCCACCCCCACAAACCCACACACTCACACTCACCCACTCACACCCCCCCACACACACCCTCCCATCCCCCCACCCCTTTGCCTCGGTGGTTCCAGAGCTTGTCCTCAGTTCCTATTTAGGAGGCAGCCCTGGACCTGCTCTGATTGTCCCCGTGGCTGGCATTTTGGGGATGGAGTGAGAGCCAGACTCCCGCCTGGGGCAGGGACATTCGGTGCCTGAGCCCCACCCCACGCCTCACCTCCAGGATGTTGTAGCGGTGAGGGTCACACAGGTTCCTCGTGCCGATCTCAGTGCTCATGTACCAGCCACTGAAGGGGGCTGCGGGGAACTCCAGGCCCCCAATTTCCAGCAGCATGTTGGACACTGCTGGGAGGGCGTACCAGCGCAGGCCCAGGGCTGCAAACCACTCCAGCCTGGGGGTGTTGGGGTGTGGGATCAGCACCCCCTTGCAGGCCCTCCTCGAGAGGCTCAGGGATGGCCCCCTCCATCCCACCCAGTCAATCCCTTTGGTGCTCACGTAGGGTGCTCCAGGGGCACCTCAAGGACCAGCTCAGGGGGCAGAAGGAAGAGTTCTGGGGGCTCATCTGGGGCCTGCAGCAGCAGGGGCAGCACGTCAAAGCGACCGTTTCCTGGGGTCCAGCCATGCTGAATGCAGAGCTGTGGGGAGCGGGCCAGAGGGGGGCCTGGGGGCTGAGCCTCATGCCCTCCTCAGGGACCCCTCTGTCCACTGTCTCCTGCCTTCAACTCCAGGACCCCTCATTGACTGGGTCTCTGTGACCACCCAGGCACTCCTCCTTTGGCGTTTTTCATCCTTTATCTCACCGAGGCTCCCCTCTTCCTGTCTGGATTCCCAGAGCCTTCTCCCACTGGTTTCCTCATTCTCCACCTTGGGGACACCCTTGTTGGTGGTTCTCGGTGCCCACCTCGGTGATCTCGACGTTGGCTGGGTCCCCCCGCACAGAGCCGTCCTGCTGCCGGTAGCCCGCATAGCGCACCAGCTGGCTGTTCCAGATTCGGAAGTCTCCTCGGCCAGGGCAGCGCTGCGGGAACACTGTGATGGCCGAGCTGGCATGCAAGGGGAAAGAGCTGGTCAGAGCCCTGCCTTCCCTGCCTTGCGGGAGAAGGCTGGGGCCTGGTGTGGTGGGGAGCACTCACCGAAGGTTGCCCCGGTTGGTGGCGTATTTGATGTGGTTGCAGATGTAGGTGAACATTTCCTGTGCAGACCTGCAGTCCCGGGCATCGAACACCTGAGCCAGCCGAGGCAGCGAGAGAGGAGGGTGAGGAGAGAGACGGGATCTTGAGTATCAGCCCCAGAGGAGCTGCTGATGAGGAGGCAGAGGCCATGGTTCACCCCATGGCGCCCTCCTGACCATTGGCATCCACACTGATCCCTTCCTGCCCTGCTCTCTGACATATGTAGCACCATCCGGGCTGCTCCTCATCTCCTCCCTGGGCCAGGTGTCTCCCCATCCCTACAGAAGCTGACTTGGTACCCAGTACAGAGAAGGGACTCAGCCTCTGTCAAACTGATGCTTGGGTTAGGCACTAACAGATGTCTAAGAGGCCACCTAAGAGTGTGGGCAGCAAATCCCCCATGATCCATGGCACTCAAGAAATGACGGGTGACCCCAGCCAGCCATCTGATTTTATTTGAGCACATGGATGGTAGGAAGGGAAGGCTGCACCAGGGGCCTCCTAGGACCCTGCTCATCCTGACATTCTAGGGCTTGGAGGAGCTGTCTTGGCTGGCTGAGTGGAGGCCCCAGGACGAGGCTGGGAGGTCCCACTCTTGCCTGAGGGAGGAGGAAACATGTGCCAGTGACAGGGGCAGGGGAGTGGCAGGGACCAGCCTGGGGTCAAGGGAGGGATGCAGCTCTGAGTGGGGTCCACTATGGCAGCTCAGATGGATCAAAGTTGAGTTAAAGCTTTGAACAACTTAGAGTGTCAGGCCAGTGTCAGATAGGATTGTTTTTATTGTATTTGAGGCTCCTTTGGGATTCACTGGGCACGTGGCTTTATTTCAAACTCTTTGGCGGCCAGTGATGGTGAAGGAGGCCAAGGCCATGGGACCAAGTCCCCCATGGGGCAGCTTGCTTCTCTCAGTGTTGTGGTCACAGGCTGTTCCAGTAACCAAGGCCAGCCCCGAGTCTGTGGGCTGGGGTGTGAGGGAGGGTGCACGTCGAGGCAGGGGAACTGGGGGAGCAGCGGGTGTGGGTGAGGGGCTGCACTGGACTGGCCTAGCAGGAGAAGCCTTCTCCCTTGGGGGAGAAGCAGCAGCCAGGGCTTTCCAGGAGGCTGCTCCTGCTACTGACAGAACCGCCCAAGGAAGCTCCGCTCAGCTGTCCTCACCCCTGCAGCAGGTCTAGACTTCTTTCCCCTCCTCTAGCCAAGGCACTACCATAGGGCCTAATAACCAGGTCTTCACTACTGGGTTGAGGTTCCCCTGGGTGCTGAGGGTGGGGCGGTCCCCCTACCTTTCCCGTCTCTAAGGGAACAGGCAAGGATCTCCCCCACTGTTTGGGACCTCCCGGTCCCTGGGAAGCCTCAGGAACTGCCCCGCCACCCCGCTCCCCTTTTAGTAGTGCCTGGCTCTCTCGATCACTGGCCTCACCTGCAGCTTCCCCCACTGGATCCGGCCCACACAGCGGGGAGCGTTGCGCCAGGCCTGCTTGGCCCCGAACACGAGCTCGCTCTCCCTAAGCTGGTAGGTGCCTGTGGCTGCCACCTCGGCTTCCACCTCTTGAAGCCGCTGTTCGTGGGCCTGGGAGCCGCTCCTGGGGAGGAGAGGGGTGGCAAAGGGACAAGCAGCAAGTTGTGTGGGACAGGGAGGCCCTCCTCCAGGCTATGTGTGAGCGCTGGGGGAGGGCAGGAGGGGCCCATGTGGTGTTGGGATCTGGGAAGGGAGTGGGCCACGTTGGGATCTGGGAAGGGAGTGGGCCGCGTTGGGATCTGGGAAGGGAGTGGGCCGCGTTGGGATCTGGGAAGGGAGTGGGCCACGTTGGGATCTGGGAAGGGAGTGGGCCACCTTGGGATCTGGGAAGGGAGTGGGCCGCGTTGGGATCTGGGAAGGGAGTGGGCCGCGTTGGGATCTGGGAAGGGAGTGGGCCGCGTTGGGATCTGGGAAGGGAGTGGGCCACCTTGGGATCTGGGAAGGGAGTGGGCGTTGGGATCTGGGAAGGGAGTGGGCCGCGTTGGGATCTGGGAAGGGAGTGGGCCGCGTTGGGATCTGGGAAGGGAGTGGGTCGAGGGAAGGTCCTCATGGGGTTTCTGGGGCCTCAGTGGAACAAGGGAGGCTGTGGCGTCCGGGAAGCTATCACCTCCTGATGGAGCTGTAGTACTGGTTGATGAAGTCCCGGGCCTGACTCAGCAGCTGCTCAGGGGCCGGGGGGCCAGGGGAGGGCCGGCCCTGTAGTTTCCGTGGAAATACCAGGGAGCCCAGGCAGCGTCTTGGGGTGCAGGGCCCATCCTGGGTCGAGGGAGTGCAAAGGTCAGGCCAGGCCAGGGAGCAGGGGTGGGACAGGAATGGGGGAGAGGGAGGAAGGGTGCATGGGTGGAACAGGGGAAAGGGAGGAGGGATGCAGGGTTGGGATGGGGGAGAGGGAGGAGGGGTACAGAGGTGGGATGGGGGAGAGGGAGGAGGGGTACAGAGATAGGATGGGGAGAGGGAGGAAGGGTGCAGGGGTGGGACAGGGGAGAGGGAGGAGGGGTGCAGGGGTGGGATGGGGAGAGGGAGGAGGGATGCAGGCGTGGTATGGGGGAGAGGGAGGAGGGGTGCAGGGGTGGGACAGGGGAGAGGGAGGAGGGGTACACGGGTGGGATGGGGAGAGGGAGGGGGTGCAGGAGTGGGATGGGGAGAGGGAGGAGGGGTGCAGGGGTGGGGCGGGGAGAGCTTGAACCAGGGTGCGGGGGTAAGGCTGGAGGCTAAGGGTCACCCAAGTCCCGTGCATGTCCCTCAACTCCGCTGGTTCTTCCCAGTCCTCTCCTCTTTTTGGAAACAAGAGGCCAATTCAGAGAAGGGTGGCGCTTCCCTCTCCAGCCCCATCTGAGGCCTGGCCTTACCCACCCTTTCCCCTGGAGACGATGGGGATGGGGACACGGCAGGCCAGCCTCACCTGCTGCGCCTGGGCACTGAGGGTGTCGTAGGCGATGCTCCCCACCTCCCAGTTCTTCACACGAGGGAACCTGGGCCCCTCCGGGGGCTGGGTTAGCGGGGAGCTCGGGGGGCTGTTGGGAGCCAGGGATAGGGTCATCAGGAAAGGCTTTGTTTCCTTTTAGCCTCCCCAGATGTCACCCGGAGGCCACTGTTACAGCACTGGCGATCTCAAGGCCCACCTGCTGCATGCCTTCTGACGTCCCCCATGCCTTAGGAGGTAGGCGTGAGCTGTGCCTCTGTTTATAGACCAGGTTCCTGGGCCACAAGGGCTGCTGGTGCTGAGCTCCTGAGTCCCTGCCCAGAGGCTGAGTTTGTACCCCACCTGCAGCACCTGCTTCACCTCTTCTGGAGATGGGGTGTCCAATCCCCGCAAAGTTGCTATAAGCCCTACCCTGAGGGGGACAGAGCCTGGTGCTAGAGTAGAGGGAAGCCCTGCAGGGATTCCTCAGCCCTGATTTCCCTCCACACTCACACCCCCTCCTGACAGTAGCCCCTTGTGTGAAGGGAAGCCTCCCAGGCCTTATCACTTCCTCCCAGAGCCACCAGCGGCAGGGAGGAAGGGAGGGACTCAGGCCAAGGGTGCGCCTGAGCAGCAGGGCCCCAGCCCTCAGCCTTCCCCGCATAGCTGCCTGCAGCCCCAGCCTGCTCCCCTGGCCTGGCACCCCACCAGGCCTCTGGGTCCTTCCTCTCTACTGGGACCTCTGCCCCAGGGAGGACTCTTCTGGGAACTGCATGGTCCAGTTTTCGGGTGACAGCCACTAGGAGAGGGGGCTGGAGCAGGGCAAAAAAGCCTGGTGGCTCTGTCTTCTCAGTCCCCTTACCCCAAGGGCCTGAGTCTCCTGCCCAACTCTCTCCCTCTTCTGGGAGACCCCACCTTCTCACTCTCCTGTAACCACTGCTGTCAGCTCCTTTCTTCTCCGGCTAAATAATCATCGCTGTGGTTGAATGCTTGCTGTGAGCTAGAAACTTACTACCCCACGGAGTAAGTATTGCCGTATCTCCGTTCTACATAAATGGAGGTTCCGAGAGGTTAAGTAACTTGCTCAAACAGCTCTTGGCAGCAGAGCAGCATTCAAACCCTGGCCGGATTCTATAGCTGGCAACCTTACTCCCAGCTTTCACCTGCCGACTCTGATCCTGGTCTCCTTTCTGAGCCTCCCAGACTGTCCTGTTCTGTGCACACCGATAACCCTTTTGCATTTGTGACCTGGCCCTCCTGGTTGGGCTACAGGTTCCAGACCTTCCCAGCCCCAAGCTTCAGGCCTTGACACCACCCTTGTGCCCACCTACTCCTAGCTGCCTGGCCCTTACCTGTGTTCTGGTGCTGGCGGGGGTAGGGATGCCGGGGCCCGGCTGGGCTCAGGGGCTGAGGGGGCTGGGCCCTGCTTGCCGCACAGCCCAAGGCCCAGCCCCAGTCCCAGGCCACAGGGTGGCCCAGGTTCCTGGGCCACGCTCTTCAAGTTGCCCATGTCACTGTGCGTCCACTCTGCTGCCTGCTCCAGCAGAGCCCTGGCCTTTTCCTTAGGAAGAGGGAGTGGACTGAGAGGAGGGGGCAGTGGGAGGGGGCTCTCTAGGGTTGGCCCTCGCCCCGCCCCTGTCCCATACACAATGGGACAGGAACAAGCCCGGCTGGGAGGCTCTAAAGCCTCAGCTCCACGCCCGCCGGCCTGGAGGGTGGGGGGCCGGACGCCTGGGTTCCGCTGTGAGGACTGAGGCTGATAAGTGGGACCCAGGTGTCCAGCAGAGCCCCGGGGCTGCAGCATGGGGGCTGGGGCATGGGGGAGTGGCAGGGTAGAGCCACCAGGGGGTCATAAACGCCCTTCTGTGATGTGGCACCAGACAGAAGGGCCTTTGGCCTCACCCCTGTGAACCTTTCCCTGAAGGGTCGGGCAGAAGGTGAGCACCCCTTCTGCAGCAGGGCATGGCATGGCATCCCACACTCTCAGTGACCACAGGGACCTCTAGGGTCACGCAGCTTCTCTCCTTCACCTCCCCCTATACATACAAGAGCTCCTGGATCCCTACCCCTGAGTTCTTTTGGGTTCTTGGGGATAGAGGCCCAGCAAGGATGCAGTGACTTTTTGTCCTTGAGTCTGACATTAGGGTATCCCTTCCCCTCCCAGCCCCAATTTCCTGGAACCCCCACACCCCCATGACTCAAGTGGGGGACACAAAAGAGCAGGAAGTTGCCATCCAGGGCCTCCACCCCCACCCTGTCATTCAGTGACGCATGCTTCCCAGGGCTGCAGGTCAGCAGAGAGACTAGGGCCGAGGCAGAGTCAGCCGGCCAGGGAAGAGCTTGATGCCTTGGTGAGACCATGTGGGGCTAGGGAAACTACAGTTCCCAGAATGCAGGTGGGGCGTACCAGTGCTCTCAAAGCACTTCAGGCCAGAGTGCATGCTGGGGTTTGTAGTTTTGTGCCATCTTGTGGGGGCTGGAGAAAGGCCACTAGCTGGACATCTGGTCCACAGGGGTCGAAGCCTCGTGATTTTGAGACCTCAGAGACTGAGAGAAAATTCAAGAAAGAAACAGAAGCTGAGAGACTGGGAGAGGCAGAGACTGGGAGCGGCAGGCAGACAAACAAACAAGAGAATTTTTGTTGGCCAGACTCCTCTGAAAAGCAGTGGAGGATAAGATTGGGGTGGGTCTGGGTGGGGGGCAGGCAGGCGGAAGGAACGGGCTGTGCTCAGAGCTCTGGGGTCACACCAAGAAGGTGGAGTCTGCCAGTTTTGGAGGGTGGAGGGTGAAGGGGCCTCATAAGCGTGCAGAAGGCTGCTCCTGGACACTAGTGTGCCCTGCTGCCCCTGTCTCAGGAGGAGGGAGATGGAAGGGTGGCTTGGGCTTTGTCCCATGGCCCCAAGCCTGAGGCCCCACCCCACCCCACCACCTCGCCTTCCCAGTGGGGCAGGGGATGGGATGTAGCCCCTACTTTTCAGGCATCTTCTACCATGCTGGAGGAGACAACAGATCCCAAGTCTGGCTTCAATATTCAGCCACCACTTGAAATGTGCATGACCAAGGATGACTCATTTTCCTAGGTCCCGGTTAATGGAGCTGTGACTGGCATCCTCGGGGTCAAGGTGACAGCCAGCATCAGATGCTGACATCCTTCTGTCTTTTTTTTTTAGACAGAGTCTTGCTCTGTCACCCAGGCTGGAGTGCAGTGGCATGATCTTGGTTCATTGCAACCTCTGCCTCCCGGAGTAATTCTCATGCCTCAGCCTCCCGAGGACAACAGGCATCCGCCACCACACCTGGCTAATTTTTTTTTTTTTTTTTTTGAGATGGAGTCTTGCTTCTGTCGCCCAGGTTGGAATGCAATGGTGCTATCTTGGCTTACTGCAACCTCCGCCTCCTGGGTTCAAGCGATTCTCCTGCCCCAGGCTCCTGAGTAGCTGAGATTACAGGCACCTGCCACCACACCTAGCTAATTTTTGTATTTTTAGTAGAGACAGGGTTTCACCATGTTGGCCAGGCTGGTCTCGAATTCCTGACCTCAGGTGATCCGCCTGCCTCGACCTCCCAGCGGGCTGGGATTCCAGGTGTGAGCTGCAGTGGACTGCCGTTGTCTTCTTGCCTGCACCACTGGCTGTGGCTTGTCCCTGTGGCCTCCTGACCCTTCCCAGGCCTTCCAGTCCCATCTGTGCTCCACGCTCTGCTAGATTCCTCTGGAAAGCAGGGCTTACTTTATGCTCTGGCTCTACCCAAAACCCTCAGCCAAGGCCAAAGCTGCTCCAACGCATTGGCCTGGCCCTCATTTTCCTCAGTGCACTGCTTGAATCCTCTGTTCTAGACAAATGGGCTTTCTCGTGTCTCCCTAATGGTCCTGTGCTTCCCTGCCCCTGAGCCACTACTGTGCTGTTCCCTCCACCTCTCCCTTCCCCCTTTGACAAATGAAAATCTTTCTCTTCCTTGAGGCCTAGCCTGGCCAGCTCTGGAGGTGCACCACCCATGCCTCCCTCCTAGAGAGCAGGTACCTGCTGCAGAAGGTGCTGGTGGCTGACAGCTTCCAGATGCCAGCCTTTAGTCCAAGGCCATGTGCTTCCCTGGAGGCTTGTGTAGGATATAATAAATTCCTCTTCTAAGGTTTTAGACTGTAAATTGTTAAGTACAATGAGTCCTGAGATTCTCTCCAAAGAACCAATGCATCAGTATGTTCAGCTCCCCTGTTCTTTGTTCTTCATTTTAAAGTTTAACTTCCACATTCTCTACATCTCCTTGCCCCTAGTTTCAGTAAACAACCCCCTCCTAGCCTCTATCACCTGCCCCAACCTGAGTCACCCCTGGTCGCTTGCTCTGACCTGAGTCATCCTGAGTCACCTGTCCTGTAACCATAGTTCCTGCCAAACTGCTCACCCTGCCAATCCGGCTCATACCCCTGCTCTCTTTAAAATAGCCAATTGCAATTAGCTTAGATTGTGTGGTCCAACCCTAGCCAACAGGGGAATGATACAGCAGTAGGGGCTACATGCATTAGGGATAAAAACCCCTTCCCTTCCCTTGTTCAGGTGTGCTCTCGCCATTTCTCCATCTGTGAGATTCACCCTTCTCTAAAAGTAAAATTGCCTTGCTGAGAAAATTTATATCTGAGTGCTACTTCTTTTGTGGCACTGAAAAATTCTTTCTAACACTTAGACAGTAACTGAGCCCCAGGGCGTCTGTGGGCTTACCATCCCCTGCTGGGCTGATGTGAGGCCCTTCTTCTTCCCTCCCTTGCAGATGTGAGCCCAGCATTGTGGGCCAGATCCTGCCCCTGCCCGTCCCGCTCCTGCTCCCAGTCGCTGTTATCTTTCTCAGGCATTGCCCCCAGTATTCCTCTTATGCTTCCAACTCCTGGGACTCTGCTTCCTGAAGGACTCAACCAACACAGCCGCAGGATGACTCCTCTGTGGGGCCTTCCTTACGTCCCCTTCTCCATGCTCCCTGGGTGGCTGTCACCCTGTCCACAAGGCCCTGGGGACAGCTCTTTCTCTGGGTTCTCCTGGTTGTGATTTCTGGGCAGCTTGGTCTGTGGGTGCGGGTTCTCACTTAAATGAACCTGTGTGCTCTGGAAGACACAGGCCAGTTCCCCTCTGTGGGGATCCTCTGCTGGGTTGAGCTCCTGCACTGAGCAGGATTGCTTCATACATTGGCTTGTTTTGAATGGAGAGGGGCCACTGAGAAGGGAATTGGCTGAGGCTAGATGGGTCTGGGTGGGCAGAAAGAAGTCAATCTAGGTGAAGGGGAGGGGTCCAAGAAGGAGCACTCTGTGGCCACAGAGAGGATGGGTTTACAGTTCAGTACAGCCAGCACTGAAGGCTGAGGGTCACAGGAAGGATGGGGTCCAGTTCAGTACGGTCAGCGCTGAAAGCTAAGGGTCGGAGTAGGCCTGGATTGGGTTTGAATTGGGGTGGAGGATGCCATGGCAGGGTCTTAAGTAAAGGAGGAAGAAAAAGTCAAACAGACAGGAAAAGTCAGAGGTGAATGCTCTCTGGACAGGGGATTCCCTGCTTCCTCTTTCTTGGGCCGTCGCCAGTGTTGTCCTGAGTGTCCTGCTTTCCACCAAGGTGCTCTGATGAGAACAGCTGATTCCCCGCCCTGTCGGAGGAGGCCTGCCCTCCCCAGGGCTCTGCCTGGTGCTGGCCTGCTCTATGCCTGCAGCCCTGCCAGGAATGATGCCGATGCATCTTAGTGGCTGATTGCTCATGTTGGTAACCATGTTTTAAAGAGTACTTTCCGAAAAAAGTTTTCAAGGTTGGAGGTTTTGTGTTTGGCTGAAAGAATTTCCATCTTAAATCATGAGATCTGAAGCTGAACGGGCTTTGGAGATGATTTGGTTGGGAACTGAGCCCCCTTGTCCCTGACAGTGGCTGTGCTCCTGCCTCAGGGAGGGACGGCCCAGACCCCAGGGATAACGTGACAGCCTTCTGTGGGTAAGGACCCCTCCCTGGGGGAGGGCTGTGCCCTGTGCCCCCTGCCCCCTCCACAACGCCGAAGAGGCGGCAAATCTTGCTCCTGCCTTCCCTCTCAGACCAGAGTGCTGTGTAGGGCTGGGCGGGGGACGCCTTGACCTTGGAGGGCTGTGCTGGGAAGGGAAGGCCTTGGGCCTGGGGTGTGTGCATGGGGGCCTGGGGGGTGAGGGCAGGGGTGACTGAGCGGAAGTCCCTGACTCTTTATAGCCCAGCCCGGGGCTGTTCAGTGTGAGCTGGAAGTACCCCACCCTTGCACTATGAGCAGCTTCCTTCCTGCCTGCTGGCAAGGACGGGGTGGGGAGCGGGGAAAGGAGGGAAGGGAGGCGGGAGCAGCGGGAGAGGGGCGGGGAACAACTGCGGCCAGGCCTCCCCCTCCCGAGGATGTAACTCATGCTGAGTTCTGGGGGGCGGAGACATTTGCTCAGCTTCCAGATTGCAGAATTGGTGCTGAACATTTGGTGAGGGCGTTGGGGCGGGTTCTGGGGTGCTAAGGGTTCCGGCCTGTGGAAGGGGTTGCCTGTCTGAAGAGGCTCCTGTGTTGATCCTGGGCGCCCCCTGGCAACC